AAGATTTGGCTGGTAGCTTTTTGGAATAGAGCTAACCAATTTGAGAAGGAAAATGACATTGACCTACTTACAAGATCACAGGGAAAAATATGTCAAGCAACTTCTGAAGAAGAATCAAAAAGCATAGAATCTTATAATAATATTTTGCTGGTAGTTTCAACAGATGGAGCCAACAAAGTTTGTGAGGGAAATATTTTTAGTGCAATATAATATTTAATGAGAATATTTTGCTATGACTGCTTAAATATTCAGGTGAGCGATACAGGCCCTCTTGGGCCTCTTGTTTAGTTATTTTTGACTATTTTTGTGTAGATTAAAAATTAACCTGTTTGTTTAGATTAATATTAACTGTTTTTATACAGGTTGCAGTGTTTCAAGTCAGCATGGATGACCTCTGTTCTTCACCAAGGTCTTAAGTTTCCACAGACCTACCACCAACTCCACTCAGTTAACCTCATCAACAGCAGGGACATCCAGTGGACACTAGGGGCCCTCATACATCGCACCCGTTACTTGCCTCTCAGGTAAGTTCACACAAATGACTTATCTTTCAGGGAAACCTAGGGCCTCTTCGTTTATGTGGAATAACCAGTTCGTAACATTTTTAGTATGAATCCTGGCAGACCTGCACAAGTTTATGCAAGCTTTGCAAGGCTGGCCTGAAAGCAGCCTCAGATAACTAGGTCCAACCTTATTTCATAAACAAACAACTCTAGTCCAACCAGTTCAACTGTTTGGTATTGTGTAAACATCTCCTTCTTATATTGGAGTCGGGTTATTGTGTAAACATCTCCTTCTTATATTGGAGTCGGGTTATTGTGTAAACAGCTCCTTCTTATATTGGAGTCGGGTTATTGTGTAAACAGATTACTTTACATAGCCAATCTGTTTTTTAGTTACATTGATTTCTAGTGATGTAACTTTAAGTTTGCCTCCTTGACTCGACAACATTAAGTAAGTTTCTTAACTCTGCTGTATTGAGTTAATGCCCTTAGCTCTTCTGTAATAAGTTAGTTCCCTTTAAGCTCTTCAGTTTTGAGTTATTAGTTCCCCTGGCATTTCAATTTGGAGTTCTTTATCTGGTTGCCTGTATAAGGATGGAATAAGGATGGAAAGGTATCATTTTAATATCATTTATAACATTTCAGGTCAATATTTACCAACATGTTATAATATCAACATATCCTTTATTAATTCATTTTCAACGTATCTCATGTTTTTTCAGGGATGTAGAAAGATTTGAAACTCAGCATGCCCAGCCCTCCAATGTGAAGAGTTCCTGGTCTCTGTATAATAGTTACGTGATAATCGTGTGTATCTTTGTTGTGGTGATGGCCATCCTGTTATACATGCACCGCCTTCAAGTGCGACTGTGTCCAACTCGGAAAGATTTGAAAAGAGTGCCTTCACACTCCTTCTTCAACACTGATGAGGATCCCTCTAGTTACCAGTACGCATGATTGTCCTTGAACTGATGACAATGAAGAGGATCCCTCTAGTTACCAGTACGCATGATTGTCCTGTAACTGATAAAAATGACGAGGATCCGTCTAGTTACCAGTACGCATGATTGTCCTGTAACTGATGACAATGACGAGGTTCCCTCTAGTTACCAGTACGCATGATTGTCCTGTAACTGATAAAAATGACGAGGATCCGTATAGTTACCAGTACGCATGATTGTCCTGTAACTGATGACAATGACGAGGTTCCCTCTAGTTACCAGTACGCATGATTGTCCTGGAACTGATGACAATGACGAGAATCCCTCTAGTTACCAGTACGCATGATTGTCCTAGATGATGACAGCATTGTGAACTTGATTGTCGAGGAACTGATAACAGCATTGTGATACATGCTAGTGTAAATAGTACCTCACAGAGGTTCTACTGGTATTGTGATACTTGTCAGCATAGAAAATACCTCCCAAACCTGACCTAGACAATTCAATTACGAATGATCACACATGCATACAGCATTTATATAATAGACAGTGTAAAGTTTTACACGTAAAAGTGCTTTACATAACTATGTAAAACAAACAGAAAATCAACACATGTTATAGTCAAAGTTGATTACCAAAGGATACGTTTCTTATAAGAAACTAAACATTGAATTCAACAATATACACAAGTATAGCCGACTGACTACTTTACACATTGACTCATGACAGTGCTACTCACTACATGTAAGCTCATGGCTTGAACGCACATGAACACTAACTGTCTTCGTACAACCCTGGCTGTAACGAGCCCGGCAAACAAGTAAACAAAAACTTTAACACCGATTCCACCATTGTATACACCCACCAAATAGTTAAACGGGTTCAGATTGGCTTACAGTGTAACCTGTCTAAAATGAAGCACTGTTTAAGCTAGAATCCTGTGCATACAGGCAAACGTATATACCATCAGTTGTTTTAATTTGTATGTGATATAATGAAATTATTGTGTAATTTAACACATATTTGTTCTGATCTGTGATGAGGACGTTATTTATAAACCCAAATTATGTATATAAAGTCTGGTGTTTTCTTTGGGTTGTTTTTTTGCATATTTATTTTTGTGTTGGTAGTGTAGTAATAATAAATCATGGACATTTAGTACATAGGTTTGATCAAACTTGCAGTAATTAGTTTATATCACTTTTATGAAAAATACAAAAAATGTATGTTTCAGTATGTAAATTAAAAGGCTAACAATAGATTGTAAACAAATATTCAAATTTAGTCAAAAATGAACATAAACTGATATAGAGTTCTTGAACCAATTATTTGGAGAAAGACAGATAAATGAGTGATTAAAACAAGAAATAACTTAAAATTATTGTCCAATTATAAGAGATCATGAAAATATTATTTCGCATGAAATGTAAGCAATGCAGATACATCATTTTTATTTCGGATTATTGAGAGAAAATGGTTTATAAACATAATATGATTTACTACAATATGGTATTATAATTATATTTATATTAGAAGTCACTTATAGTTGCACCAATAATATAAGGTTTCTATGAAGTTTAAAAATAAAAAGTTTAGAGTAAGAATGGTATTTGTATTTTGGTATTTTGAGATGTAAAGTAAAGATGACATCTCTCCATCAGCACAGTAAGACAGTATACAAAATGGTGCATTGATATTAAAGAAACAGGTTTTACTTGCACAAGTATGTTTTGTTCTCAAACTGCACTTATGTAAGTTATGATCATAATTAGATAATTCCATTTCTCAGCCTTTGTCTTCAGGGATACAGTGTTTGTGTGTTATCTTTTTTTTTTAATATTACATTATGTACAGTATATGCTTTCTTGTGAAGACAAACACAAAATGTAATATTTTTGTCAGCATGTTTTTGACCATTAGACTTCAACCAAATGAATCTCTGTTCAAGAGGTCAACTTCATGCTTCAACAATACTCCTTGAGATAATTTCGTCTCTTCGTATTGCAAAGTTATCTGCTCTTGTGAGCAGGTATTGATTTTTACGTCATTTGTTTGTGAGAGTAACGTCATCAATTTTTCGAAAACGTTGTAATTTTCTCACACAAACCAATGATGTAACAATCAATACCTGCTCACAAGAGAAGATAACTCTGCAATATGCAAAGACCGAATATATGCCGAAGTATTCTGGAATTAGGTTTTCATATAAAGAAATATTGCAATATTTGGCCTACATTTCTTGTTATGATTTGTGATGACATTTATTTGTTGTCTATTTCCAAAGTTATTTCTGATTGCCATCTATAGAAATCAGGGATTTTGGGGAACATTTTCTTTGCCGGAAACTCATAAAAAAGTCTAGCTTATTTACAAAGTATATTGGTATTGTCATGTCTACTATCATTATAGGAACATTTTGAATATATAATGAAATATAACATTTTAGTTACAATGTTCTTCATTTACCACTGTAGTGCTAAAAGGCTATATTACAATTATTTATTAAAGTTATCGGACATGGAACCATGGCCAGTTATATATGTGATAGATAACAGTCTGGTAAATTACATGTGTTTGTGTTTGTGATGTGTTTCAATGACTATGGCATATAATGTCAGTATATACTCGATATACACTGTATGAACTCTGAGAACATAAGTTTTTGTTACAACGCACATGGTGTGTAGTTTTTAGTATTCATACAGAAATGTGAGCATGTAAGTGAAATTTCCTTTTTTATGGAAAGATTATAAAAAGTCAAATTGCCTTTTGAATTATTGCTAAAAGATTTGCAAATTACCAAGGTATCATTTTATTTTTAGAAATTATGACAATTCAGAATAATTTTGAAATGTAATTTAATTATATTATAATATATACAGATAGAATGTTAAAGGCACTTTTATTTAGGTTATCATATATGCATATCATTTATTCAACCGTGGCTTGAATCGGTTTGTTACATGTACATGTATTGGTATGAGGCCTCTACACCGTATGTAGGTGTCTCTGTAAATGTTTAACAAAACCTAAATGGATAGGTCATACTCCATTGGTCCCCGGATAGATCATACTTCATTGGTCCAAGGATAGGTCATACTTCATTGGTCCCCGGATAGATCATACTTTATTGGTCCCAGGATAGATCATACTTCATTGGTCCCAGGATAGATCATACTTCATTGGTCCAAGGATAGGTCATACTTCATTGGTCCCAGGATAGGTCATACTTCATTGGTCCCAGGATAGGTCATACTTCATTGGTCCCAGGATAGGTCATACTTCATTGGTCCCAGGATAGGTCATACTTCATTTGTCCCAGGATAGGTCATACTTCATTGGTCCCCGGATAGGGCATACTTCATTGGTCCCCGGATAGATCATACTTCATTAGTCCCCGGATAGGTCATACTCCATTGGTCCCAGGATAGGTCATACTCCATTGGTCCCCGGATAGGTCATACTCCATTGGTCCCAGGATAGGTCATACTCCATTTGTCCCAGGATAGGTCATACTTCTTTGGTCCATGGATAGATCATACTTCATTGGTCCCAGGATAGATCATACTTCATTGGTCCCAGGATAGATCATACTTCATTGGTCCCAGGATAGATCATACTTCATTGGTCCCAGGATAGATCATACTTCATTGGTCCCAGGATAGATCATACTTCATTGGTCCCAGGATAGATCATACTTCATTGGTCCCAGGATAGATCATACTTCATTGGTCCCAGGATAGATCATACTTCATTGGTCCCAGGATAGATCATACTTCATTGGTCCCAGGATAGGTCATACTCCATTGGTCCCAGGATAGATCATACTTCATTGGTCCCAGGATAGATCATACTCCATTGGTCCCAGGATAGATCATACTTCATTGGTCCCAGGATAGGTCATACTTCATTGGTCCCAGGATAGGTCATACTCCATTGGTCCCAGGATAGGTCATACTCTATTGTTCCCAGGATAGGTCATACTTCATTGGTCCCATTTTGCCATTTTTAATATGTCTCCATGTATTTGTACAAACTGTTGTTGACAATGAGAGGGATAGTACACAATTATATTATCTTTTAGATTAAGCAGGGGTGCCAGTTGGTAATATATTACCTTGCTGGAAATATTTCTTGTTTTTTGGGTGCCATTATTTTTTGTGACCAGTAAACCTGTATCTTAGCTGGTGAATTAGTGTACGGAGGAATGTCTGCATAGTTTTCATGAACCCTTTTTCAGTATTATGAGAAATACCTCTCATTTAAACCCTGAGTATAGTCCCAGCTCTTAGAAGATACAGCTGTTGATGGGTTTAGTCTTGTTAATATTTTGATGTACTCATTTAAATGAGATTGTTGACAATATTTCTGTTGTAAAACTCTTTTAATCACATGTCATATCTGACATTTACTCAGTGTAATCCATTTTCTCTATGTAACTTGTAACAAACCTCATTGTCATATCACTACATATAGTATAATGAGATGACGTCAGGAATTTGCAGTAGAAGCATTTATGGCGGCTTATTTTATTTTTTTGCCTAATGTTTTATCGAACGGTATTATCTGACATAGTTATGGGTAAATCATATGATAAAAAGAATCTCCAGCTTGTCATCATTGCACAGACAGTTATAAAAATCATTAAAAATTCCATTGTAATTGGTTACAGATCCTGTCTATATGGTGGGATAATGTTGGGGCTTTATAAATTTTGCTCATTGACCTCTATACTCAATATAAGGAAATTTTCGCCTCCGATTAACTTCTGCTTTTTTTCCCTCTACAATTAAGGCAATTTATCATTAACACTAACTATAGTCAACAACGTGATAAACATGGAAGGCAAACGTCAAGGATGAAATTAACACTGGGTGAATGTGGGTTTTACTGGTGAAGGGCAACAGTTTTGACCGTGTGTACGTTTCCCGTTATAGAGAGCTGTTTATGATTTTATGTCCAATCTATGCAGTGTAAATCTACTTTCCTAGCTTAGTTCTACTCTCAGAAACGAATCAGTTTTACTTCACTATGTTAGCCTACTAACCTGAGGCAATGTTTAACTTCTCAGGTATGATATGTCCTGGCACAAATTGTTTGTGTGTTTACGATATGGCACATTGTTAGTGGTCAAAGACCTTCTGCATGTCTGTTAAGTTTTAGTGCAAAATTGCTGAAGGGATTTTGAGAAGATTGTATGGGGTCATATGATTTATGAATGAAGGGTGTGGCACCTTGGATGCAGAGGGGAAGGGCCAGAGAGGGGAAAAGGGATAATCTGTACAAGAATAGGCCTAAGATATGTAAGGATTTTAATCCAATTATGATTGAAGCCTTTCTGTGTCAGGGGGATTAAATGAAGTATAAATGAAGGGTGTCTGTTCCTTCAATATGAATGAAGAATTTTGCTTAATTTTAGAAGAAGCATCCCTGGGACAAGGATGCTAATACAATTTAATATATAATATTAGTGAAAGTTTTGTCCCTCCCCCTTTTAACAGAGCAGAGGAAGGGGAAAAGTTTGTATTTTTTGTCAATTCAAAAGTTATTATTTTCTCTATGCCTTTACTAGTAGTTGAACCCGGGACTTCTGGTTTACTTGTCTTACGCTCTACCAAATGGCCTAAAGAGAAATTCTCCCTAGCCGAGTCGGTAGGAAGCTGCTAGTATTCTAACAGGGTGACACAATGGTGAAAGTTGCTATGAATTATCATGGTCGTAATTCCTAACATGCTCCAGGTTTACTAAATGTCTTAACTAGGATGCTATTAGGTTAACCATCCTATAATCTGATTAGATGATACATTTTCCATAAATTGTTGCTTCTGAACTCCCAAAGATTAATTTAAACCAAAATTGACATAAAAGTTTCTGGTTTTGTTTTTGTAATTATCCGGCTAGAAATTCGAAATGGCCACCATGGTCTGAAATTGATAACAGCACAGTGAGTGGACTGTATGTTCTTATGTTTGAAGTGTAATTGTTTAAAATTTTACATGCTTCTAACTGAATATTTTGCAATTTGCTTGATATCTGAATATTCCTTGGTATTCTTCTGAAAGGTTTATGAAAATTCTAAATGGAAGGGATGTAAACATGTCTATATACAGTTCTACATTCCGATATGTATGATAACAACCTTTGTGTCGATCGTAAAATCATGTCCATTGACTGTATGTGAAATGTGTATATCTGGTTGCCAGAGTGCCTGTTTTGTTAAGACTGAAATAATGGATAATAATAAATGACTAAAATGGATTAATTTTTCAATTTTATTTTTTCAAATTTTGAATTGTGTGATTTCAATGAAAACAATTTAAGCCAAGCATCAAACTGGAATGTATTTCTCTTGTTTTGAGTAAGAAATCCTCTCAGTTTCTAGAATGGCAGAAAGTCAAATCATCAAACATGAATTTTTAATACGAAATTACTATTTTTAGAGACTGAAGTTTCTGTCTAGCATAACGATAATGCAATTCTTAAAACAATATCTCCTGTTACAACATCACATGAATAAATGTGATAACGTAAAAAAATGTGACATTTTTATTTAAATTCAATGTGTAACATTTCACTCATGAAAATTAAGCTCATATCATAACAAGAATTCCACGGAAGTGGATGTGTCGCCTGCGCAGGAAGCAGGGAGATTACGAAGAAATAGATACACTTTTCATTTCACGAAATAATGTTAAAAGTAAGCAATAATCATAGATTATGTTTTTGGATGGCATCATTTTGTTATATAATCTGTTATTCTGGGAAGAATACTCTGAGTTTTAAAGAACTTGCTATCTATTTATAGTAACAGTGCCCTTGACCTTTGACCTTCGGACCTGAAAAGCAATCCCAAGCAAGCACTGTTTGTAAGGAAGCACTGCATGAAGTTTGAGTTTGATCAGCCCAATGAAACTCAATTTATCGCACGAAAACCTCTGTGCAGACGACACCGATGACACCGACGTGGATATAGCAATACCTATGTGTCACCAGCTTTTCGCAGGCGACACAAAAATGTTATGAAATGGGAAGTCACACATTGAACATGTTATATACTGATACAATGTTTATGTATTTTTTGTATATAATGTATGCATACCGATACCCTGTGTATGTATTCATTTTATATACATTGTATGGATATAATTACTGATAAACTGTATACATACTGGTATATATTTATATAACACATATTTTATACTGATACAATGTACATGTATGTATTTTATATACATTGTATGTATATAATATACTGATACACTGTACATGTATTTATTTTATATACATTGTATGTATATGATATACTTATACACTGTACATGTATTTATTTTATATACATTGTATGTATAAAATATACTGATACACTGTACATGTATTTATTTTATATACATTGTATGAATTTGTATATATATAATTACTGATAAACTGTTTACATACTGGTATAGATTCATGTTACAAAATATTATTTTTACTGATTCACAGTATACAAACATGGATGTATTTTTTTATATAAGGTATACAATTGTAAATATAGTACTTAATGCTACATGTCAAAATATTTTGTAACTCAAAATAATATTTCTTCATTTCACTCATGAATCTGAGACTTGATTTTAAAAGAAAAATATATTGCATGTACTGGACATGTGTAAACAATACATGGTTAATGCACTGGGGGTAAAGGAAACAGATGGCAAGCAAATAAAGGAAACCTTTGAAAAATACATGCTTTCAAAAACAAGAGGCCTAAAAGGGAGAAGCAGTTGAAGGTTTAGAGTTATTTGACCCCCGGACCTACAGAAGAAGTCGTTTAAACAAGTTGACGGAAGGACACCGTGCCTTCGGGCATATGAGCTAAAAATGAAAATATTTGGACTTTGAAAAACTCCAGTCCCTTCCAAAACCCAACCCGATTTCCCATGCCAAAAGAATTTGTTTTGAAAAATTTGCTGGCTAATCTTGTTAGCAGCTTAAGTGTTACTCAGACGTGGATACTTAACTAGTACAATTAATACATGTTCTATACATGAGTAGAGCTCATATACAATTAAGTTTCTTAAAGTTTGTCCTACCCCAAGCTGCTACAATCCTAACTGTTTGTCCTACCCTAAGCTGCTACAATCCTAACTGTTTACATGCTCGACTTTTTCAGTTACGAACTCTTTTTTATTTGTCAAAAAACAACGGCTTACCAGATGTAATCAGAATTGTTTCCACAAATATATTTTTTTTACATTTAAGTGCAAATAATTTTGCCAATTCCACAGGAGCTAGATCTCTTTTAAAGATCTGTCTAGTATTTATATATATACAATCGTTTAGATATTTTGCCATATAAAATAACGAAGCAAATATAACTAATCATTGCTAATGTTTTCATCCTAGTGGCTATCTTGAAAACGTTAGCAATGATCAACTTTATTTATTTGCTTAGGAGATTTTTAATGTCCTCATATCCAAATGATACACAAAGTTTTCACAATATTGAACAATATACATAAATGTTTTTACCTAAGAAATAAAATTAAAAAAATCAATTTGATAAAAAAACATATTTATGATTAATTAATGTATTTATCTTAGATCAACATAAACTTAAGCTGGAAACACTGATTATTATCACTCGTACCAAAGATAATAATTCTGGGAAACACTCGGGATTAATCAGATGAATGACATTGTGTAATATATATCGGAATATACTTGGAATCGTTAATGGTTAACTAGGTCAACCAATATCATTAAAACATTTTGGGCAAGTTTACATTGGTCAACTCAAAATTTCCCTGGAAACACCCGTGCTTAAGTTTCACCACGATACCTTATAGATTGTATGGTCACCCAAAATGTCAACCTCATGTTAATCCTACTTAAAGACACACAAGAATCAAGATGGATGTTGCAACGCGAAACCACTAAATCCCTAGTAAAATTAAAGTGAAATGCCTCAGTAATATATTTTAGAATATTGTGAATAAGAAGACGAACGTTAAGTGATCTGGATTGATAAATTAATTAAAGATGATATATGTCATTTTTATAATTTATGTGGAGTTATAATGAGATAGACATAATACTATATGAATCGCAAATGAACATGCAATTCTATAATGTTAACAAAACATCTTGTTTTTATAACACTAAATGTTACGAAATATGACTTTATCAACAATTTATGATCACGGTCACAAGGCCATTGACTTTGCATTTACATACCGGTAAAATGTGTAACCAGAACATTTTGTTATGATTCTTGATGTTTTACAGAGCCACAGCCACCTTGGGTTTAAGGTATGGCTCTCCCTGGCTAGTAAAGCTCTGAATGACCAGTGCATATACAGATGTATACAGGGACATTTTCGGTATCACTCGCAAAAACATGATACCGACCACACAGGAAAAAGTAACAATATATACAGGGAAATATTCGGTATTATCGTCACTACACGATACCAACATACAGGAAAATATAACACAATATATACAGGGAAATAATCGGTATTATCGTCGCAACACGATATCAACATACAGGAAATATAACACAATATATACAGGGAAATATTCGGTATTATCGTCACTACTTGATACAAACCATACAGGAAATATAACACAAACTATACACGGAAATTCTCGGTAGCATCTGTAGCTACATGATTCCAACCATAAAGGAACTTATAGCGCAAACTATACAGGGAAATACTCAGTATAATCGTCACTACGCGATACCAACATACATGGAAATACTCAGTATAATCGTCACTACGTGATACCAACATACAGGGAAATACTCATTATAATCGTCACTACGTGATACAAACATACAGGGAAATACTCATTATAATTGTCACTACGTGATACCAACATACAGGGAAATACTCATTATAATCGTCACTACGTGATACAAACATACAGGGAAATACTCAGTATAATCGTCCCTACGTGATACAAACATACAGGGAAATTCTCAGTATAATCGTCGCTACGTGATACAAACATACAGTGAAATACTCATTATAATTGTCACTACGTGTTACCAACATACAGGGAAATTCTCAGTATAATCGTCACTGCGTGATACCAACATACAGGGAAATTCTCATTATAATCGTCACTACGAGATACAAACACACAGGGAAATACTCAGAATAATCGTCACTACGAGATACAAACATACAGGGAACTACTCATTATAATTGTCACTACGTGTTACCAACATACAGGGAAATATTCATTATAATCGTCACTACGAGATACAAACACACAGGGAAATACTCAGGATAATCGTCACTACGCGATACCAACATACAGAGAAATACTCAGTATAATAGTCACTACGTGATACTAACATCCAGGGAAATACTCAGTATAATAGTCACTACGTGATACCAACATACAGGAAAATATAACACAATATATACAGGGAAATATTCATTATAATCGTCACTACGCGATACCAACATACAGGGAAATACTCAGTATACACGTCACTACGTGATACCAACATACAGGGAAATACTCAGTATAATCGTCACTACGTGATACAAACATACAGGGAAATACTCAGTATAATCGTCACTACGTGATACAAACATACAGGGAAATACTCAGTATAATCGTCACTACGTGATACAAACATACAGGGAAATACTCATTATAATCGTCACTACGTGATACCAACATACAGGGAAATCCTCAGTATACACGTCACTACGTGATACTAACATACAGGGAAATACTCAGTATAATCGTCACTACGTGATACCAACCGTACGGAATAATACGACACAAGCTATCAACAGGAAAATACTCGGTATTACTCTTAACGACATGATACATATTCAAGAATACACAAAATTATAAAACAAACCATACAGGAAAATATAACACAAACTATACAGGGAAATACTCAGTATCATCTGTAGCTACATGATACCAACCACACTGTTGAATAGAACACAGTATAATCAGGACAATATTGGTATCCTTTGTAACTGCATTATACCAATCATACAGGAAAATATAACACAAACTATATACAAGGGAAAACTCAGTATCATTCATAACTACACTATACCAACCATACAAGAAAATATAACACAAAATATAAACAGGAAAGTATAACACAAACTAGACAAGGAACTATAGCACAAAATAAATGTATATAGGGAAATAGTCGGTATCACTCGTCACTTCATGACACCAATCATACAAAGAAGTATAACACAAACTATATACAGGGAAATACTCAGTATCATTCCAAACGACATGATACCAACCATACAGGAAAGTATAACACAAATAATACAGGGAAATTCTCTGTATTACTCGTCACTACATTTAAACCCACACAATCTCTAATGGGAAGTAGTCGGGATTAATGAGGTCAATACTTACTATAATTAGAAACCGTTTGGGTAAACTAGGTCAACATTAGTTATAGATCAATTTAAAGCATACTGAAAATGGCTATCCCATTACTTTGAAACATTTGGAGTTAGTATAACTACATGTAGGTTAGCACAACATTTACTATGATACACTCGACCTTTAAAAGAGGTCGCCTCATGCTATATTGGAAAACGTTTGGCATTAATATCATCCACTCGTATTATACCGGAACACACCTGGAGTCGATCAGATTCAGAAACACTCCGAACAAACCAGGTCAACCCATTCTTAAAACTACCTACGTACATGTATGTCATCCCGTACTATACTCAGAGACACTTGTGGGTAATTAGATAAGGCAACACTATGCTGGGAACCACAAGGTGTTACCACGTCAGCTGATATATATACCACACTAGTTATAACTAGGTCATCAAAAACGTTTTCTCTAGAAAACACATTAACAAGGTTAACGATAATATAACTATTATTGGTAAAACATGGGGTAAATTAGGTAAATATGTACATGTACTATATACTATGCTGGGTCAATAAATTTCATACTTAATTAGTCCCATCCAGTTATAATCTGCTCAAATTTCAATTTACCTGAAAACACTTATTGTTAGCTAGGTCATCTCGCACTCTGTAGGGACTTACCTGTATTAGCTAGGTAAACTGAAACTCATGGTAGACACGCATGGGCATGGGAGTCATTTGATATATTACATTAAAAAAGCAGGGTTAAGTTTAACTACATAGGCTAACGCTAAATACTGCAAAAATCTAAATTGTTACCGTTGATGAAACATACTGAACACTAGTACATAAATACTCTTAGTTCTTAGTTTACTGGGAAACATTTGCGATGGATTACATCAGCTCAAACTTTACTCAAAAACAATTTATTGTAAACTTAATTAACTCATTTCAGACAAACAATCAGCGTTAACTACGCCAACACACCTATTCTATACTGGCAATGACGCGTGTGTTGTATATGTAAACATTACTGTACTGTCAAACATTTATAAGTTTTGGTGGATACAGTTAAATTATGTGTATTAATCCAAACTGGACATGGAAACACACAGGGTTTACAAAGTCAACTTCTACTAAACTTCACTTTATCCTTAATAAGGACCAGGTCTGGACATCGATGTTCGTCATTTTCACTGTGGCACTGTATGACCTTCACTGTGGCCATGTATGACCTTGTGTAATGGTTGTTAAGATATGAAACACAACTTTATGTTATTGTGATCATCAGTTCGCTCAACACATGCTACATTATATTGTTAATGAAAGCACGAATGATTTTCGGTTAGATACATTCTGGTCAATATATTTATCTGAAGACCATTTCCCATGCAAAACTAGTATGTACTTTTTTCACACATCTTACTCAACCATTCCCTCCACTACGCCCTCCTCTATTTCCTCCGCCACGCCCACCTCTACTTCCCCTGCCACGCCCCCTTCCACGACCTCCACCACGCTCAACTTCATTCCATACACAACTCCCATCTTCATCTACTTTTCCACCTTCTGCTCCACTCTCTACTTTACTGCCTCTGCCACGCCCACCTCTACTTCCCCTACCACGTCCTCCTCTATGCCCACTATAAGGACCTCCCCTACCTCCCTCACTATGTTCTCCTCTACCCCGCCCTCTTTTATTCTTTTCAACACCTTTTCCTTTACTTCCTCCACCACCGCCATTGTCACTATAACCGCCACCACGCTCGCCACCAAGCTCACCATCACGACCCCTTCTTTTTCCGTCAGGTACTTCTCTACTAGGCACTCCTTCAAATTCCCTACCGCTCATTCCTTTAATATTTCCATGGCGACTTCCTTCGCTCTCTTCACAACACTCTTTTCTTCTTCCTCCTTTGCCCCCGCTACCACTGTCTCGGTCTCTGTCACGTCCTTTATAATTTCCCCCTACATTCTCATCACCACGCAATCTTTTACTACTCTCGTCTTGCTGTTCTACAGTCCCTCTGCCATGCCTTTCTAAACTCCTCTTACCATTTTCTTTTCCAATCTCTTTACCTCTCCCTCTTTTGCTCCCTCCGCCACGTTGTCTACCACCACCTCTGCTAAGTCCTCCTCTGCTTCCCACGTCTGTTTCTCCTCTACCACACCCTATTTTATTTTCTCTATCAGTCACTTTTTCATTTATTTTGTTGTGCTGTTCCACTTCCCTGCCACGCATTTTCCCATTCCCTTCGACAATCTCGCCACAACATTCTCTCCCAGTCTTTTTGTCACCTTTTTCTCTGCTTTGCCCACTGTTTTCTAGAATATTCTTTTTCCTCGTGTCCTCCAGTTTCCTGCAGTCTGTTCTGAATCCACTTGAACGTTCCAGTCCTCGATCCCTGCAACGCCCCCGTGAACCTCTACCACGGTCTCGTTTGCTTCCTTCATTGAACCGGCTTTGACCTCTCCCTCGACCATGTCGTCCTCCTTGACCCGTTCCGTATTCATCTCCTCCACACGCACCTCCAACGTCCAGGCCGTGCTTCAAAGACAACACATACCAATAACCTATCGTTTTGTTTTGAAATTACATATAAGATTATGGAAAAATGTAAGAACTTATTTCATATTTACAGATCTAGAAAAATTCGGAAAACAATTTACCTGCTTTATAAGGTTTTCACTGGAACACTCCGAACAAGTCTTGCTCCAGATATTTGATGGTCTGAAGTGACCTTCAAAAGAAAAGGTTAATTTTCTTACACAATTTGTAAATGTCAGAATGCTTTATTCTGTTTTGTTTTTTGAAATTATATATAGTATAACACATATATAGAACATATGATCAGTATGTGGGTTTGATAAAATGACATTGCATTTCTACACGGGTTTTCGCATTGTATAATAATCATGTACCTTAAAGTTTATGCTATGATATTCTATTTTGAAGTAGATTATATGTTTATGGTTTTATTGCATAAGCCATGATAAATGTTTAGTTTTGACGCAATTGATTTACCTTTGTCACAAATAGTCCAGTCGTCCCTGTGCACACCGACAGCTACCAGGACTGGGAAATCAAAAGCAACGATTGCCTCCGACGCATTTGTCAAAAGGGGCTCAAGCATTTTCCGCACTTTGTGTAGGTTTGATGTTGTGAACGTGTGCGCTTTCCTGATAAAGCTCTCAGCATCATTTACTGTCTTGTGTTCCTCTGTTATATATTCGATCCGTTTGCCATCCGAGATTCGTCCAGATGTCCTGGTATCCACCTTAAGTTCACAAGAAGCAGATCTGTTTTCCCAGTGGCTGCTGATAAGCAGAAGCCAAACCGCTGAAAGCTTACACAGGTTCCGATTGATACAACCTACTTGTTGTGGAGTCAAGTCTATAGTCTGCTGTGAACTGTATAACAACTTTGTTAACATTTGTGAATATGATATAGCCCATTGATTGAGTAACCTGACATCAGTCGTTCCGTTGTGTAGTTTTTCTTGTATGTATAAGTAGGTTCGGAATCTCGTTATATACATGGCTGCTTTAGCAATATCTTCCGTCTCTTTTGGAAATGATATTCTGGGTAAGCTCACATGCATGTTTAGAAAAGTTTTGACAGATTCTATTGCTTCCCATTGAATTTTCAGTACATTAGCATATCGCGGATGCCATCGAACGATTTCTTTGCATTTCGGACACCTAAAAATGTCTAATGCGTTTGTTTTTCCGTCCACGATCTCGTCTAAATAATTAGATTCGAATTCATGTCTGCAGTCAGTTAATCGAACTAAACGTGTATCCTCTGACGGCGGCGTGTGACAGAAGACCTTCTGTATGTGTTTAGTTTTGCACTTGATGCAGGACTCGGGGCAAGGGTCACCACAAAAACCCAAGCATCGATGTTGACAGTCGAGAAGCAGAGGACAGGGACGATCACATCGAGGTCGATCGCACTGCTCGAAACACAGCCGAGAACACTGGTGATGCGGACATTTAAGCGAACACTTCTCATGACATGGACGACACTCACTTCCACAAGCATGTGTGCAATGTCGATGTGGACAGTAGTTTTTACACTGACTGTTACATGATCGACATGAACCGCACTTTGTACTGTTACAAGAGTGCCCACATATAAGAATTTTGTTACAGGATTTTTTACAAGGCTCATGGAACATGTTTACTGAACAGTTTCTACATTTTCCTCCACACTTATGTCCACATGAAAGAGTTGCTGAACATTTCTGCTGACACGGCTGCTGATTGACTGACTTCCAACATTCTACAGAGCAGTCATGTCCACACGCTAGTTGCTGTTGTGTAAGCTTGTTGCATTTCTTCTTGTCAATACTGGCTTTCTTTGAGCATTCAATATCTACCTTATGACTACATGCTGGTCTGGACATTCGCACCATAACCTGACAGCGAGTTGATGTGCTTGGTGATTTGCAACATTCCATTTTGATCTCGTGGTCACAAGGAAGTTTTTTGCTTACGATTTCGTCGCACAGATGATGTTCTGGGTCAGCGGAACATTCTAATTTACTGATATGTCCACATTGAGGAAGGACTTTGTTGACCAGTGAAGTACACTTACAGCTGCTAGGATCCATTGAGCACGCCATGTCTTGTGAGTGTCCACACAACTCAATGCGTTTAGAAACGATCTCTATGCATTTTATCATCGAAACATCTGAGGAACATTCAAGTTCTTTCATATGACCACAAGGAATTAAAGCTTTGTTGACCATCTGAACGCAGACAATTGTACTTGGGTCTTCATGACATGGCATCTTCTTTATATGTGCACAGTGGGGCAGTTCTTTAATGACAATTTCAGTGCAGTCTACACTACCTGGATCTTTGTGACATTCCACTTTCTGAATGTGACAACAATTTGGTATTGTTTTGTCCACCCAACGTTTGCAAGTGCACTGCTCGGGGTAATGGCACTTTCTGTAGCATATGTGTCCACGCGTACACTTTTGTAAACACTTTTGTTTGCAATTTGCTTCTTCTGAGGTACAGCACTCTAGCTCAGCTGAATGTTGACAATCCCATTGTTTTTTAACGATAGCTTTGCATTTGATGTTCTTTATGTCTATGTGGCAAGCAACATCCACCGAATGTTGGCATTTCGAAAAACGTTTTGAGGTGATCGTACTGCAACAGGTGTCACTTTCATAAGACGGCGAGTACTTGCTACATACGACGTCAAAACTGTGTCCACAATCTTCTCGAAACTTGTGTAACATGACTGTGCATTCGTGGTGTGCTGAATTTATCCAACATTCTAGTTCTGCTGTGTGTTCACAGGCATGTAGCTCTCGTGTAACGATTCGTTTACATTGATAAGCTGTTGCGTCCACATGACATTCCAATGTCACCTCATGAACACACCTTTCAAGGGTGTGTGTAACCAAGATTCGACACTTGAATGTGTCTGGATTAACGGAACACTCCATAATTGCATCGTGGCCACATCGTCCTAAAGTTCTGTTGACAAATTCTTTACACAAAATGCTTTCTGGTTTGCTGTTGCATTGCAATGTTAACACATGTCCACAAGGAAGTGTTTTTTCTACATTCACTGTACATTTGTGATCTTCGGGATGTATATGGCATTTCATAGTCGCTTTGTGTCCACACGGGAGATCTTTTTTCATCAGTATAGGACATTTACATTCCTCTTCAAAGTGACATTTTTTCCTACATTGATGATCATTGGAACAAGCCTTGTTGCACGTCTCTTTGCATTTGTAGTCGATATGTTCTTTATCCTTTGGATGACAGAAAAGTCTGCACACGTGTCCACAGCAAAGTCGGAAGTCACATTTTCGATCACAACCTCCATCTGGTGATCTGTTGAAGTCCTCAGCATCTGTCACTAGAGTACGGGTTTGTGGATGATTTTGACAGACAAGGGGAAGAGCATTTCCAAACTGATCAAATAATTTCGTTTTCTTTGTGACTTGTGCCCAAAGATGACATCCTGCCTCTAATATGGAAAAATCCCCAATGACATATAATCCTTTCTTAGCTCTTGAAAGTGCTACACAAATTCTGTTTTCTTTTTTCAAGAATCCAATATTACCTGTTTTGTTACTCCTAACTAGTGAAAGGAGTATTATGTCAGTTTCCTCTCCCTGGAAATTGTCTATGGCAACTGCCCGCACTCCTTCAAATTCGTTTCTTGGCATCAAATTTCTAATGCAGAGCATCTGTCCTGAATAGGCTGCAAGGATTGTAATCTGGTTTGGAGCGTATCCCTGCTTCAATAGGTATCTGCAGAGTGCAACAACATAGCCAGCTTCATGTTTGTTGGAGTAGCTTCTTGTGTCTCCTCCATAATCCTCTGATCTGTTGTGGTTGATAAAGAAGACATCTTTTTCGACGCCCATCACATGTTCATATTTGAAAACATTCTCGCTGTCTTCTAACGTAGGATATATGTCACGTACAAGTCTGGAAATGTCTGGCCTCATCCTGTGCTGTCGTTGCAGGCAATGATTTTCTATGCCATTATTTAACAATCTTTCAAACATAGAAAGGCCCAGATTATATTTCTGTTCCAATCTGTAAACAGATGGTTTTGGTTCCAATTGCTTGTGATCACCGATCAGAATGAGATGTTCACACCTCGGACTGAGGGCGGTGATGATATGTGTCTCCAACACCTCGGCAGCCTCCTCGATAATAACAATCCTTGGCCCGATTTCTTTCAGAACGTCCTGGTAACGTGCTGCCCCAGTTGTTGTCATTGCTATTACCGTTGCAGTCTTCAAAACCATTGCGTCTACACATTTTTTTTCTTTTTGATAATCCTTTAGAACTTGTGAGAGTTCCTGTTCTAACTGAAGAAGTGCGTCCTCTTGTGATGCTTTGTATTTCCTTACCCAATATCTGTATAGCCGCCATCTGTTATCAAGGGTAAGATTGTTCAAATTCGAAAGGCTTGAACAACCGGCTGCCTCCCAGTCAGTCATTGTATCGTGGGATGTAAGCCTGGTAAACGTCTTCATCGCTTCTTGTCTTAGTACCGCTTTAAAAAGATCGTCCATCTGTAATGTTTTACAAACATCTGAATCGTCATGCAACATATTTGAAATTGCAATCCTGACATCCAGACCGATGTCTTTGTCAGCTTCAAGGCTAGCCAGAGTATCGTCCTCGATTCTTCGGTCGTCTTCCAATATCTCTGCATCTGTCTTGACGTGCAGCAACTCTTGTTGGTTTTGTGTTTCCCTTGTTTTTAGTCCCGCATGTCCGGAATACAATGTCTGAAGCTCTGAGTAATATGCTATTTCAGCTTTTTGCATCCAACTCATTTCATCAGCACCTAACCATTCAAAAAATATGTTTTCTTTGTCTAAGGCTTTGCAATTTCGTCCGGACATTATGGGTTTCAGGAAAGTTAACTTCAGTATGACTGAATGTAAGTTTCTGAGTCGGTATTTAGTGTCTGCAATTTGTTGCTGTAGTCTCTGCAAGGAACGGAAGTATCTATTTTCATCAACCCTTCCTCCTCTTCCAAAGGAACGTCTACGATTCTTTAGTGAAAACTGTTCTACTGCAGCGTTATCACTTCTCCCTCCGACGCGAACGATGTCATTTCGCCATGAAAGTTTTGCCTTCGGATCAAGGAAGTTCACGATGCCTTCCATGAACTGATCCAGAGCGTGATTTGTAAAACATACCACCAGCATTGGACACTTCCTCTTATCCCGTATTCTGTTGTTTTTCGTCTCGGGTGTTTCCCAGGTAGACTTGTTATGAAGGAGAGTTTTGGCGATCTTAAGACCGACGTGTGTTTTACCTGTTCCTGGTGGGCCTTGTATTAGGACAAGCTCCTGTGTGAGAGCAGCGTGAAATGCTTCAAGTTGAGATTGATCTAAGCAGAGTTCCTCGGCTGTTGGCCATGTATATATCGGTTGCAGGATTTTGACATTATGCTGCTTACCCGAGTCTTTGTTTTCACCATCTGTTTCCCCGGCAAATCGCTTATAATATGTGGCTTTCTCTTTTGAATTATAAATTGGTTGACCGGAAAGAATGGGTTGCAAATCATATTCTGCTGATGTGTTCATCACATATAATGGCGGATCAACGTCTTTCCTACACTTAACTATATATTTCTCAAATGGAAGTTCGCCCTCCTTTATGTTCTGTAGTCCAGCCAGCACGTGTCGGTAGGCTTCGAAGTATGCAGATGATTCCACCATTGTCATTTTTGTCTCAAGAGGTAGTATGTCATTGCAGGGACAGACAACTGAAAATTTGCGATCTTTTTGAAGATCCTTGCGATCTGATTCTGAAACTACTGCAAAATGCATGTTGCGAAAGTTATCGACAGAGAGACATACCAGCGAACCGTAGATCAGCCTTCGACTTGACATCCAGTTGATTCGGCTGGACTGGTCTTTATCCAGCTTAATCACATACTGCTCTCCTTCTATGGTCGGTTTCTTGGATACGGCGACAACTTTCTTATACAGCTTTCCGTCTTGAAGTCGACCAATGTTATTTCCTGAACTCACAGCTGTTATATATTCATTGACACCGTCTCTTAAAGGGCTTATGCAGTCTTCTCGGTACAAACGAAACTGTACATCTAGATAATGTTCTAGGTTTTCGTACCCACCGGAAGCTTTGTTCTTTCGAAGATACACTCCACGATAATTCACAAATATGTCTGATGTTCTTGGTAATACCGGAATAGTACGAAAATCCTCGGGCGGTGGCAGACATTCTGATTTGGCCTTACCTCTGTCGTAACCAGTCATCCTTTTCAATGCAGTTTCTTTTAAACTTGAAACCACATCCGATAATGACTGTATTTTCTGTCTTTTCTTACCTTTTGTGGTTAGAATCATTTCCTCAATTCTCTTCTCCATTATCACAATATGTCCAAAAACGTCGGTGAAGGAGTGTGGGAAGCGTAGAAAAAGTTGACTAACTACTTCGACTAAATTCTGAATGAATTGTATGACATCGTCTTCACTCGTGTTGCTTGCAAACATTGACAATGTGTTGGTTATCTCCCTTGTGAAGAGTCTGGTTCCAAGCACCATGGTGAGAAGGTCTATCACCTTTGCTTTGTCCGTCACACATTGGACGGCCTTAGCAATGACTGCTAGCCAACAGATGGTGTCGGCAGGAGGTAAGTCGGATGTATCAAATGACACTAAAGCCCGGGATCGCCCATGGGATACAAGGGTATCCAGTACTTTTTTGTTGCTACAGCTCTCATCCAACAACGATTTCAAGCGCCCGACAGAAAAGGTGCGATCCGACCTCGCGAGAGCCATTCTGGTTATTTAAATGACCTATCAGATACTAAAGGTTCTCTCGATCACAATGTTCTCCTGCTGCACATGTGTTGACACCATGAGTGTGGCAGGCGCTATAAAGAAAAACAAAACGGGATTGTTTAATTTGATTGCTCTATTAACTAACACGTAATTCTTTTCTCATTTACAATATTCAAAGTTTCCTTAACAATTCCCGAATTCTTTCACTTTTTTGGGGATGAGGGGATTCATTAGCAGTACAAGAATTCTTGATAGGATTATTTATCACATTATTGTCATTAACTTATGCTGGCGCACTAAGGCAAAATACTGAAAGTATTTATCCTACAGACAGGAGGATATACATGTAGTTAATGCACAGTGACTGAAATCTATTGTAAACTTGCAGTGACAATCAATGTATAAACCTAAAATAAAGCATCGTCTTATTCGTGACTTTTGGAGAACTTCTCGTAAAACATGTTTACTTTTAACCCTGAACTGAGCCCACTAAAACTTCTAATAGTTTCGCTTTCGTTTTTGAATAAGCTTTTATCGATATTACGTGCGGCACCTGGCAGTGTTACTGATACAGGTTTGTATACACATACGTCTCTACAGAACACTGATAAAATATACATTGTTACAATAATGTTACAACAACGCTGTATGTATCCAAATCATCAGGAAGTAATACCACAGTGATAAATGATGGTCTGTTACAGAACGGTTATAACTTGACAAAGTGTATGTGCCTGACCACAAACTTTGACTTGGGAAGTTACAAAAATAAAAATGAAAATAAAAATAACCTTTTAAGCGCATTTAGTTTCACATCCTGTCATATAATAAAGAAAGAAAGGTGAAAATCGTTATTTCGTTTACAGTTAAAACATCAGACTAAACGGGAATGACTGGCGGATGAAATTGATATATTCATTACATAACCTTCAATGTCCGAGCTAAATCTAAATAGAGCTCCATGATGTAGAATACAATATCGTGATATTTTTTTGAGTCTAGATAAAAGTTACATAGTGGGTATCTAAATACTTACCAGCTATAAGGGTCTCAACTGAGAGCATGGTCTAATTATAATTACTACGGTGAAACATAGCTGTGGTACTTTCTGCAAATCAAACAAACATTACTTTACCTCTAAATTTCTGTTTTCTACTTACCAAAATCGTCCTCCCTCATTTAGTCTTAATTCATTTGGAAAAAGACAATATCAATGGAAGAACGTCTTAATAATATTTTCACAAGAAAGTTCATTTATGTTAAGTGACGATTGATATCCGAATGACGGAGAGTGCGTTGGATACAGTCATTCGGAACCAGGGAGTGCGTGTGAATACTGTCACTCAAATGATAAAATCATTTTATAACTATGCTATGAATATATACATGTTCCTCAGATCAGTTTCGTAAATCATGTTACATCATTTTGCATTAGCCCATCCTTTGTGCCCGATTTAATCAACTCAAAGGATGGCATAGTCCATTTTACTGTATTATGGCTATTTTAATGGGGTCGGTAAGATATTTACAGACACACTACTGTGAATTCACTACAAACATTTTATTAAGTCTGAAGGGACATTGCTTGTAAGGGAAAAAGAGAATAAACGCTTGTTACTTTCTAAATTAAACTGACCAAAAGAAAAGCATCACTTTACATTAAAATGAAAGTGAGACACAAAAGGTTTGACATCTGATCTGAGTGTAACCTCATCATTTAATGCACCGTCACAACCTTGTTTGACATACCAGTGACAATATATTAGGTAAGTTAAGTGCCCTGTTATCCTGTTAATATTCAAAGGTTAATTATCAAAATGAATTATCTTTCAATTGTTTGATGAATTATTTTCATATATGTCCTAAAATCCTGCTTTCTAAATGGCAAAGTTTTATCTCACTCACCGTTACACCTGATCTTCATCAAGTCACGACTATCCTCTTTGTAGCTGGTTCTGTTGATAACACATTGATTTATATTGACAGGAACAGAAAGTAAAAATGTAACAGTATCTTAACCTTGACTGTTGGAAAGCCTCATGTAAAACATATTTACTTTACACTAGGAACATATATCCCCATAGTTTTGCTTTCGTTTTGAACCTAAATGATCATAAGGTGTTATCAACAGTTCGTAGGCTCTGGGCACGTATCAGCGCTACGTAGACCCATACGTCGCTATATATACGTATACATGTACGCTATGATTAACAAGTTATAGCGCTATCATATAGATACAAACATACACTTTGTAAGGATTCTAAATAATCTTCGACTTTTATACCACAACGAGTGATTGATCATCGGTTACAGAGTGAATGTAAATTACATGTAACAATGACAAACTTCAAGTGCTTAAGCATAAACTATTACTGGAGACACTTCAAAAATTTAGAGGGGGAAAAAAGAGCTTATGGGCGCATTTTGTTTCATATCCTAGCAGACACGGTAAAAATGTCGTTTCTAGATTTCAGTACAATCAATAACCAAGAGCAAAACTAACGATAAGACTGAAAATTCAAAACGATATATTTCATTTCATGACCGAAACAGTCAAGGGAAGTTCAACCCTGCCAAATTCTGGGTAGAAAAATGTAGCAGTAACTTACTGTGACACTAAGAGACCTTCTCGTGCAAACATGTTTACGTTAAACCATGAACTGATCCAAAGAAAAAATTCCCCTAGTTTCGCTTTCGTTTTGAACGTAAAATGGTGTTATCAACATTTCGTACGTCTCTGGGAATATAATACAAACTTACAATAAACACTATTACCATATCATAGTAATATCTAGAACACAAAAAAGGGTGGTAATTAAAGCATCATCCGTTACAGAGTAAATATTACTCGACACAGGAAAAACAGTTCTTGAGCATAAAAGACGACTAAGGAGTTGGTATGAACAAGGAAGAAGAATGAAAATCATTGTTTTTATTTAGTTTACACTGAAAAACTGTGAAACGAGGTAAAATGGGAACAACTAAACAATAACACTTACATATCCATAACGTTATTGTAGCGGCCGCGGTGGCCAAGTGGATAAGGCATCTGACTCGTCTCGTTCCTGCAAAAAAACCCTATTTAAAATGCTATTTTTCAATGCAAAATCATCCTTATAGTACTTGCAGTAGCGGGTTTCCGAATAACTTGATGCATGTGTGGGTAATTTCACTCGGAACAGGTATATGTGTGAATACTCACAAATATTATTGCATTATTTGTAAAATGTAGCACTAACCTAACAGTATCTGTCAGAAACATCCACATAAAAACTTGTTAACATTTAACTATGATCTGATCCAAAGAAAATACAACGTATTTCAATTTCGTTTGAAACTTACAATGTATATCTAATTTCAATGATAATAAATTACGTTTGAAGCTTATCAGTGTAACATATACAGTCATGTATATATACATGTATATACATGTACGTTGCTTTGTTGTTATGGTAAACAAGTAGGTACTCTTTTTTAATCTTCTATAAATGTTAAATGCCTTCCAATAGTCAATCTAAACTAAGATTAAACGCTGGTTGTTGATCATTTGTAACAATGCGCGTGAGGCCGAGTGAACGACACAATGTCACAACACAGGGTCCAATAGCATTGCCGAGTGGCAGTCGTGTTTTCACTACATCAATTAATAACAGTTTTTAGTACACACAGTTTAATTACATTTAACACTCTTTCTTTCTAAGCTTAATTTTATTGACTCACCTCCTTTTTGTTAATAAAGATGAAGTTTCACCTACACGCAATATTTGACAAAAATTTCAACGAATATTGGACACTTTTGTACGTATTCTGCCATACATATGCATGTAGTTCAACGAAAACTGTTCAAAATCACCTGCAGTGACATTCAGGAAACAGCTAGTCAACAATTTGGTAAATGATAATTTGGAAAAATATAACGTGACGATCACGTGACTGTGCACATATTGGTCATATGACCGTGCACGTTTTATTATAAACTTAGTAACTTATAGTAATCCCCTTGCCCGGATAATTCACATGTGACATGTGTTACCCAGAACCCGTGGAGACAGGTTTTCCGAGGGAAACGGATTTCAAGATATAGCCATTATCATGATCCCCTACAATTTGGCACAAATGTACACCTCCTATAAGTTATGGGCCACATCAAGTAAATGTTTGGTTAGCTTTTAGCATTGTTCATCATGTTCACATTTAAATGACACTAAACTTAGATTTTAGTACCTGGTTCTATATCAGCTTTACATTTAGTGAAACTGAAAGTAAAAATGTGAAAGTAATATATAAGTGTTTGCCTCCACATGAACTCCTGTTTATTAAAACCGTAAATTACTCCCAAGAAAACTCCCCGAAGTTCCGCTTTCGTTTTCAACTGATATCTGATTCAACCTTATCAGTGTTAACAAGTATGTATAGACATACGTACGTCGCTACGTTATACAAACAAAACTGACACTTTCTTAGCTTAGAGAGATCTTTAACAGATACGGTATAGCGGAAACTATTTCACCCTAAGTGCTAGTTGTTGACTATGTGCTATATTAAACGTGACTGAATGCATAACAGCATCTGGTCAACAGCCAGCACCGAGAGGCATTTTTTTTCACTTTACCTCCCAGAAAGAAGGCATTAAATAGCAGTTTTGATGACATAATAATGACTAATGTCAAACGACTTTTATATCAGTTAAACTTTGTTGACTAACTTCAACTTCTTATGACGAGTTATTTCTAGTTAAATGAGATTTGCCAACATGTGCGATTTGAAAATCCACAAAGAATATAGCACACTTTTCTGCTGGGTTTTTTCCTGCAATACATCTATTTTACCTGTTCCAAATCGTCTGAGTTGGCAGGGAAAAATACCTTGCCATCTTAAATTCAGAAGAAAGCTTGTTAATTACGCAGTCAATGATATTTGAACGCTTGCAATCAACGTCTTTTGGAAAATTATAACGTGACGATCACGTGACTGCATGGATTGGTCATGTGACTAGGCATTTATAACTTTCGTTAAACTTTCATTCGCACCCATGGCTTCCCTTCTGGACCTTCACGCTTAATAGCTGTAATCCAAAGTTGTCTGCGTATGTCAGGTTTTTTGGGAGACGATAAAAGCTTTTTGGGTTATTATTATCAAATCTTGTAGTGCAGTTGATAACACAACAGGACACAACCATTGTAATTAAACCGAAAACAGGTTATGATCGATCTGACATAGGCCTATGTAAACAACATTCTTGCCGACGGTTCCCGATTGTCTTAGACTGATGTAAAGAACGGGGTCGCCCAGGGTTCTATTGTAGGACCTCTAATTTTTAGTATTTTTATGAATGATATTTTTACCTTTGTAGATAAATGTATTTTATACAATTACGCAGATGACAACACGCTCTCTAAGATTTGTGACAATTATATATATTTGAAAGATTGTTTAGAAAAAGAGAGCAAAGTTGTTTTAGAATGGTTTGATTTTAATGGTATGAAGGCCAATCCAGAGAAATTTCAGGCAATATGTTTTGGCAAAAAGAATAACACTATCAAATCTTTTAATATTGAAAGCCTTGAGATTATTTGTGAAGACAGTGTGACACGTTTAGGTGTGGATATTGACTTTCTTCTTATATATGATCTCGCCTTTGCAGAAATGCTGTTAAACAACTTGCTGTTTTAAAAAGACTGGGAAACAATCTTACAAAGAAATTTTAACTATTGTCCACTTGCCTGGCACTTTTGTACATTGACAAATACTCCAAAAATGGAAAAAGTTCAGGAACGAGCACTTCGTTTTATTGAAAATGATTATGTTTCCCCAGTCATTGATATTCTTAGAAAACACAAACTTGATTTTTTACATGTAAAACGTATGAAAGATATGGCCTCTGAGGTTTTTAAAATTTTAAATGAAATTTTACAAAATCTTGTTGAGAGGAAAGAAGTCTATTACAACCTGAGACAAGATAACCTGGTAAAGATTCCAAAGGTGAACACCTCCACATATGGTGAGAGATCTTTCCGATTTTCTGCTTCCCAGGTGTGGAACAGCCTACCAAATGAACTTTGATTAGCTGAAAACTATAAGTCGTTTCGTGGGCTGCTCCGCACCTGGAACAAAAATGTCTGCTCATGTGCTATCTGCACACACCATATAGTGTGAGTTGTCCCCCTTTGGAATCTACCTACATGTTTTATACTTAAACTATTTAATTTCACTGCTGCTTGTGTTATTTCATTTAATATACTTCAGTAATATACTTATCATATAATTGATATTTATTTTAGATTTGAGCTCATTATTTAAAAGATCACTACTTTTTTACAATATGATAATTACAGCTCTGTCTCTATTTATGACTTCATTGTCTCTTTTTAATTCACACTATATTAGTGTATATCCTGTAAATTTTTACACTTTACTACATTAGCATATATGTACATTACACAAGTATAGTGTCTTAACTTGTCTTTTGTAACACTTGTTTGACATTCATGTGTGATATCATATGACCTACTGTATAATTTTAGCATATCTAATTTGAATTGTTGTCCTGTTTTTATATTTATTCTTAAGTACTGTAATCCATGTTAAATTTTATATATGTTTTGTCGCAAGAATAGCACTACAGTGCTAATGTTATTAAGTTACATGTATATGCGACGTTAAATAAAGCTTCTTGAATCTTGAATCTTGTCTTGCCAACCAATCGGAAGTCACGTGACATTGTGACGTCACGGCGGAAATTGCTATAGCCCGGATCCCATACATACCTACGTACTAAAAGTCGCGGAGACTGGTTTTCTGATCCCCTACAGTTTTGTTGTAAATGAACACTTCCTTTTAGACATGATTATCGCTAAGATACATTACATGTTTGGATATTTTTAAGCATGTAAGTATATTGAATTGCTGTGCAAGTCCTTGAACATAAATAACTGAGTTTACCTTTTGGAGCATTGTAATGGCATATTGAAGAAAACTAAAGAGAAAACAGAACCTTTTAATTTTACCAGGTTTACTTGTTAGAACATTAATTTCCCTCATATTAGTTTGAAGCACATAACAAAACATTAATATTTGTTATGATGCTTCACCTGATGTGATAGGAACCTGAACAAGTAATATATTATTCGAGTTCTAAATATATTTATCCATAAATTTTATTTAACAATTTGTTGTGTTTATTTTGCTGTAGAAGAGCTGAATGTTATGCATTAATGCACGAGGAAGTCATTCACATAAAATTGAAAACTATTGACATCGTCCCTAGGTGTTTACTACAATGTGTGCGAAGTATTCATCCTTCCACACATTATATAATGTTAACACTGGCGCACTTATTCCTGTTCTGGATACAGAGAAAGTGTTCTCTCCAGCCCACACAACTCCAACTACATGCTTACACTGCTTTGTTCAATGAAATTATGATGATTTGCTATGTCAATGATATATCATCATTATCACCGAGATGCAAGTTTAGAGCCATATGCAAGTATCCTAATATGGAACGAGTACAACAAAAAAACCAGTTTTACTGATATATGTTTATCCAATATAAGTTGAGACTTTGTTTTGTATCTCGATTATATACTCAGGAAATGTGAAACCAAATAATATAGCAAAGTCTTCAGGATTAATTGGTATTCATTGTGGGATAGTCACGGGAACTTACTGTAATACCCCGTTAAACAAGTCTTTTAAATGGTTATCAACGCCAGTATTCAACGTATAATATTCTCCAGTACCAGCGAGTATTCAATATGTCCACATTACACTCAAGATATTTAATTGTACTTACCTGGGAGTGTATAATTCCACTTAGACAAATATTGTTTGTCACTCAACAGGGTGTACTGAATGTGCCTAAGATATAATATACCACGGTACTTGAAGAGATCACCTACCAAATAGAGTCTATCTAAAACACATTAACACAAAAGATCTGTCTTAGTTCTCTCACACATATGCATTGTATTATATGTGAATACATACGTGACATTTTTTTTCAATAATACTTGTTATAGGTAAGACGAGCCTTTGGAAGTACACTACAATATGCCCTGGCAATGAATGACAAAGCAAGATCATTTAGTTGCATTAGAATTCTGATATCATGATGATAATTCGTTCAAACTCTCAAAAACTGAATAGCTAAATAGCACAGGAAGGTCTGAGAGATTGAAGTAGCAGTGTAGGACATTGCTTCGGGAAATCAAAGGAATCTGCTGTAACACCCAAATGCTCTTTGAATTGTAACGATCGACAGTAAACACCGTATTTGTAACAAACGGCAGTAGTCACAATATGACTCACAGTGCATTTCCAGGGTGCAAACAAAAATAAACTAGACAATATACAACATAAAATAGGACAGGGCACCAACAACGCAACCACTAAGCCATCATGTGTTAACCTCTTTCTATCATAAAGCAAAACACAAATAGCAAAAAATGTAATTTACATCATTACAAAATAACACAAACGCTGCACCCACCATACTTTCCAAATCCTACCCACAATCACCAGTATTGATGGAGGGTATTATTCATATGAAAATGAAGACATGCGTTTAATGTAAAATCGGTACCCGTTTGGAATGTTCGTCAGTAGCAGCTAACTTGCTGATGGACAGTACAGAGATGATTTATAGTCCAGTGATATAGTTAGTTCCTTAGTGTACCTACCTTGGATATTCCTTCCTCTTTGTAGTCACTAGATATGTGTGCACCTAACGACCACTGAGTCATACAGGGTTATGTAATACACGGAAATAACCTGTGTTCACTTTCGCTTTCGATTCCCGGCGTATAGCACAGCACACCGTTAACTTAATCAATAGTTTACAGGTTTAATTACAACAAATACTGTGCTTATCTGTTTAGTGGTTTCACAGTATTTATTATCGTTAAATTAAATCAGGACTTTCCGTGAAATGAGGCAATAGCGTATGAAAGAAAACATTAACAAGATTAAACATTATTTGTTTATGACGATTAAATCCATATCACTTCGCAGCAAAGATGCCGGATATTGTATCATGGCGCTGCTAGGACTATCATTAGCAGAGTGGATTGTCCATGTCAATCAGTGCTAAATAATAAAGTCTTCGTTGTTATTGACCAAAACCCGTGCAGGTTCGGGGAAAGAAACGGCTAATTTGGGGGCCCCTGCGGAATCGGGGTGGTTTCTTCTAAGTCTATTTATAGGCTAGGAAAGATATTGCATTTTTTAGGTAAACGTTTATTTCGTAAATGTATCATTAATCTCGTCTACCTTAGAAGCAAAGACTTTGCCACCAACTTCAGCAGCAGCAAAGTTCCACAGTCTGCGTGTGTACTATCAGTACTATCAGATATTAGAATGGAAAGGAATGGCAGACGACCTGACACCGGGAGACTGGGGTTGGCATGTCACGGATGGGAAGTATCTTCCAATACAAACTGATATACCACCAGCACCAGCATCACTCCTTAAAGTCATCAGATGTGGATGCAAGAAAGACTGTGCAACCAAGAAATGCACGTGCCGGAAGTATGGCCTCCAATGTTCAACAGCCTGCACTGATTGTCGTGGCACTAGTTGCACCAACTCACCACCACCAGACCCAGAACTTGATGCTACTACTGACCAGCGTGCCACATAAATGTATGTTTGTTGGAGACTACCAACTGTAATAATAACTGAACTGAGATTTAAAACCAATATAGACATATATTATAGTTGCTCTGGAATACATTGTGGATATGTATGTGTTTATGCAAACTAAAGAACCTAATTATGATATATTTGAAAATTTAAAAATATTTCACAACATGAATAAGTGTCGTCGCAATTCTCTACACACAAAAAATGCCTAAATTGGCAGCCATTTTGAATTTATGCAAATTAAGACACTCAATTAGGCACATGAAACCTTGTGCAAACAAAAACATTCTTGAAAATAACATTTTAGATATTCAAAGTACACTAAAAATATTCTTAAAGGTATGTAAGGTGAACATTTTGATTAGATCTGGGAGAAAACAGTAGAATTGGCTGCCATTTTGTATTTATGTAAATTAGACACACTTCCACTACACGGATTTTTTCGGACTTTTAGTATGTCATTTTGGGGACCTTACTTAAATGCATTGCAGTATTTTTTTTTATTGCAATTTGTTTGACCTCAAAACACAATATTCCTAGCCTATTAGGGGACATTGAATAAATCAAGAATAGACCTGCCGTATACCACTGTAAGTGTTTCGTAAAAAGTGACTAGTGTAGGATCCCTAAGTAATCAGGGTTTTCTTCGGGTTTTTTAAAACTTTATTTATTTTACTACAATTATGAAACATGTAATTACAACTTATATTAATCACTCTTGTTGACCCTGATGTTGGCGCGCTTGGGGTCTTATCAAAACTATTGATTTTGATAACTTGTTAAATCTATAGTAGGGTAAATATTGTCCCTTTTTTGGTCGTATAGATCCACTTCCATTCGGTTCTCATCCCTTCACTCACTCATGCGAAAATGATGTTAGAAGATAACTAATTTGTTTAACATTAATTAAGGTTCCACAACCCCTCTTAAAGATAGTGTGGTCACCCTTAATTTCTACCGCTTGATTCGTCATATTAAAAGACACCATTTCATCATCATAGTTTAGATAATAATGTAATTTGAATATATTAACCTTGTACTTTATTGTTAATAAAATGGTATATAGTATTATTATACCTTCTGTTAAAATCTCGTAATCTGATTGGTTGAGAAAGATGTGAACATTTTCAATGTTACTTGCTCGTTTTACAAAGATAAAGGAGACAGGGTGTTATTCCAAAAAATATCACATGCGCCAAACGTATGCGTGCACGGTTCGTCCCAGTGCCAGGGTGTTATTCCAAAAATTGTTACATGCGCCAAACATATGCGTGCACGGTTCGTCCCAGTGCCAGAATGTTATCATGGTTGGTTCATTCGACAACTGTTGAGATGAAGTCTTGGTTTAGGTCAAATCAACACAAGGACCTTTAAAAATGGTGAAGTGGTGAAACACCTAAACATGACACTCGGTATAATAAAATAAAAATCACATTCATGAGAGGGCGATATTGCATATTTTCACCCCTCGGAAAGCATTGTTGACCTCGGCTCATGAATGTGATATTTATATAATGTTAACATAGTCAATGATAAATCATTAAGGCTGGTGTTTTGTTACAATAGTTTATTGGCTTTATAAACATCAATCTTTATTGCGACCCAAATGAATGCTGCGGAATGACATATTATTTTATAAAGTTCACTTATATACCGGTCCCAAATCTGGATAGATGATGCCATTCAAAACACCTCAACGTATAGTAAAATATCCCAGTAACATATTTCATAAGACACTTATAAGGAAAACGTAGGCTAACCGAGCTTCAGATGAAGTATCACTTCATAACATTAATTTTGTGGTGTTACATGTATGTATGAGTTAGTCCTGTTATAAACATAAGTTTTTTCTAACATCACCTAATGATGAATGAGAACACTTTATATCAAGTCCATCAACATTGATAGAACCTTGAAATATATTACCGGATCCTTTCACAACAATTTTGGGGGTTTCACATAGCCACAAGAAGCCAGTTTGCCCCGTTATAAATTTTATGAAAGCGTCGACTTTAAATGATTTATCACAGACTGTGTTCACCTCACTATGTTCAATATGCCCAAATCACACCTCTGAATCAATTTGTTGAACTGGGTTCTTTGAATATGACTTATTTAAGTGGCTGACAGTTTGGTTGACTATGCAACTTTTAGGGGGACTCTGAATGTTAATTATCTGCTTTTTTCAATACAAATTATAACAAAAAAAACATGCATTACACTGTATACTTATGTAAATGCCTAGGTAAAGAGTCTTCATTTAAAAATCACAGATTCGCTTAAGTACATAGATATATACGGATTACAAAACACAATAACTCAATATCTTCCTTTCATGCTGTACGTCACTTCTTATTTTGAGAACCGATACGCAAATACTTCTTTTTCCACAGAATAGCCGTCTTGATTGCTACTTTTCATGTCAAAATTGTTAAAAATGTTTAACATCAAAATAAGAAATCATTAAATTTATTTTTTAAACAATTTAAAATAAAGAAACAAATATAATTAGAGAAAAATAATGCAATACTAATCACCAAATATTTGTTCAAATCGAAAAATGGCAATTTTCATCTAAGAGGCCAAAAATCAAAGAAACTTTCTTCGGTATCCTTTATAAACATAACAAATGAAAGATAAAAAATGCATAATCAAATATTTCAACAAAGTGGAAGTACTCATTCCCCTCTCACAACCTAAACTGTATTGTAGTGTTTTTGATATCACAGAAATGCATAGTTTCGTAACATGACAGAAACAAGGAAAGCGTACTCTATCTTTACCTACTTCAGTGTACACGTACCTCGGTTACGTGACAGTAATAATAAAGGGCACCGTTACTGTGCTTTATTTAATGTTATCATATTTCAGCGCACCGCCGACAATTTCCAAGTTACAGTCAGCAATATAGCTGATATAAAAATATAGAACTTTCGAAATAATTAAAAAAAATGCGAATTTTTTAATAACACAATGATAAATACATTTACAGTTTATACCTGTGACAGAGATGCACACCAATGATAAGTACATTTACAGTTTATACCTGTGACAGACATGCACACCAATGATAAGTACATTTACAGTTTATACCTGTGACAGACATGCACACCAATGATAAGTACATTTACAGTTTACACCTGTGACAGATATGCACACCAATGGATGCAATAGACATATAGGTTGTATTCCGATCAAATGTTTTATAAAATTTAATATCAAAAGTAATACAATGTATCAATTCCTTATTCATTAATTAATGCAGCTGATGTCAACAGACGTTATGATCAATTACCGAGTGACTGACGAACAGGCATACAGTTATAACGCGTTTTATATGTTTCGTTTATAATGTATGCTAATACAATACATTTGCTTATTTACATATTATACACATTTCGGTTAACATGTATTTTACAAAGAACTTCCAAATGTAACGCGTGACCTGTTTCTTAGTGTCGTGTTCCATTTCCAAGACGAAAACCTGTATGTTTCGCACGTTTCACACCTTAGAGGTATCTATCCCTCCGTGGTTTACTGGTGGTAGACTCGTTTGCAATCGTTGCGTGGAGGTGCCATCTATTGGTGGGAGACCTTGTGCAGACGAGGACAGAGGATCGTATAACTCCGACGAAGCAGGATATTCGGGGGGAGCTGTGCTTGGGGGTTGTTGATGCTCGTAGGGAGGCGGTTGTGGGAATGTTCCCGTGGTCCGTCCGTACTGGGAGTAACCCATGGTATGTCCCAGAACTTGTGGCTGTGATGGATAGGGGCCAGTGTAGGCCCAGTTCGCATGGGTACTTACTGAAAATACAGCAAAACAAGGAATATATGTCGATTTGCAAAATGGTTGTGGGAAGCGTGAAAAAATCTTTGAACGAAAGTTGTGATTTTTTGTCAACAACACAATGGAGATAGGTGATTGTTCTTCTCTGCGTTTTACTTTAAATAACCCTGAATTGCAGCAGTCAAATAGTGTAACTGAAATTGGAGCATGATGTCCCAATCACAAGTCTTGTCTAAGACTCGAAAGCTAGATTATAAATTGTTTTTCTCTACATTAAGGGCATCAGAGAAATCTTAATTCAAGGGTGATACCTTTATTGTCTTATCCGAGACAGGTTGCTTCCTACTGGAAGTTAGACATTCAGTATGACATGCCCTCACTGCAGGGAAAATCACGTGTGCTGATATCCTCAAAACATTAGCAAACCAATACATATCAGCGTGTTCATGTTTCTGTCCTGATTCCCTCGTCATTGCATTAAGTTCAATATATTTAATTGTTTCAATTTAACAATAGGGAAAACTCTCACGGTCGCTTATCTCAATCCGCAAACAAATTAAATTGTTGCGTTCTTTATTCAATATTTAACGTCAAGTACAGTGAACAATCGTATTTCACATTGTCATTCAATGTCAGTCAACAACAAGAACTGGTTAAGTATTCACTAGAAATACCATTAAATGACCTTTTTCAATATATTGTATGTAAATGCAGATAGACAAGCGAAGTAAATCTTACTGCTCCTTCATAATGGCAACCTTGTCCATTTAGGATTCACCAGAGTAAGAACAAGATGAACAGGTGTTTCGAATCATTATAAAATACGGCAAACAAAAAGGGAAAGGTTTACAACCTTACAAATTCAAAACTAAATACATATATAAAATACATATCACATACTCTTTCATCAAATACCCTCATTAAGACTGGCATGCTATTTCACTGAGTACTGCTGACATCACACATAGGTTCTGGCAACACTTGCTTTAACTTCATACACCTAAACTTGAGCTGTACTTACCATACGCCACGTTGCTCGCTCCTTGCTGTTGTGTAAGGGGAACTATGACACGACCTCTATTGCCTGTTTTATTCGTCCCCATACACACGAGGCAAAACACCAGGGACACGATGAAACCAAGAAAGACGATTCCGCCAATAACACATCCGGCGATGATACCAACACTGGAGAAAATATGTCGATGTAAGGAGCATGACATGTCAGATGCAATATAATATACACGTATTGGTAAATATATAAGTAGTTAAATGTGCTCAATATATGACACAGTAAGTACGTATTGAAATGTGAGAGTATTTCAAGGACCCCCTTACAACTGCCAAAAACTGTAACCATGCATTTGATATGTTTTTGGCAAAACTATAGCGTTGATAAACATTTTTGAGGAGAACCTTACATTTTTTAACCCTTTTACCCCTATGTAACTTAAGTTAACTCTTCCATTCATTGATCTGGATGATTCCATTATGGTATACAGTGGTGAAAGGATTAAAATAACTGAGAACAATGTCTCAATTCAGCGTGGCCAGACCAGGATTCGAACCCAGGACCTCCGATTATTATACTATCGTTGTAATCTACTCAGCTACCTGGTCAACGATAGTGTGGTGAGCACAGGTCACTGTGATACAAACCTAGAGTACCGTGGGACGGTGAGCCTTAAGTAGAGTCCCATATACATGTATGGAAATACATTTTGTTAACATATTATTTACAAAGAATAAGGCGTAGTTATAACAATTTACGTATTCAAGTTAGTCCATTACTTCCTCTTCTTCTAAAACAAGATAGTTACTTTGATAAGTTATTGATTACGTCAATCGAAGATAAACGTCATTATCGGAAAGGGCGGATTAAGATATTTATAATAATTTATAATAATAAATGTCTATGTATTTTGTATTGAAATACACCAAACAAGTCAATTATCAATACAACTTAGATAAAGCGTAGCTAAATCGAGTCATTTCGGTACATATATAACAACTAATTGTACATACGGCGTAGTCGAATCGACATCAAATTGTGGACAACTCGTACACAGTTTACACCTTTGTGTACAGACGCTTCACTGGTCATTTGTCTGATGAAGGTGACAGAGAACATACCGTTCTAGTCACATAGAAACACTTATTGGTTGTGTTACAAGAATCTTTTCATAATTTAATAAAGCGTGTTACATGATGTTTTACATAACGGATAAGAATTGTATACATACATGCTAGCATCAAAACTTTCATCTTCACAGCACTTCCGGTCGTAGGTATACCCACAACAACCCTCCGGGCAGTAGCCGTAGTATCGCTCTGTGCCAAAACTGTAGCTGTACTCGTAGCATATATCCGCACCCACAACACCTACACATGGTCAAAACATGACTGCTTTAAAAACATAAAAAAATACATTGTGCTGAATACTTCTGGCTTATTACTATATAGCTGTCGTATGTCGTGGGTACTGGGACTGGATTAATATCCCTTACTTGAGCATTGAACTGCTTTCAGTTGGTATTCACAGGCATTACGAATGCCAACTGGACAAACGCAAATTCAATGAAGCGCTAGCGCTTAATGTTGAATTTGCCAATTGTGCAGTTTGAATTCATATTGCCGATGAATGGCAACTGAAAGCAGTTCAATACTTCTATTTTCAATTTTTTTAATCTTGTCATTTAAAAACAAAAGTGCATTTATTTTTATTCTGCAATTATATTAATTAGTTCATATAATGGATGTATCGTGTATGCTTGTTCAATGAATAGAACAGCCATCGCCAAGGGAGGGTCAGTTGTATGCAACGTAACAATTATGACAGCATCAATCGGTCCATGGTATTCATAGCCTATATGAATGCCAACTGAATTTGGTAGGGTTATATAGTGGCGATGCCATACGATGGTAAATATTTCTTAATGATTAGCAATGTTATATTTATATCGAGGGGTACGCTAATGTGTGCTGTAATAAATCACAATTGAATTGAAGTTATATTTAGGGTTTTCCTGAATCATGTCTTTCATTATTTTAGCACTTATCTTTTTTCAATATATATATATATATATATATATATATATAATTTTGATACCACGATTGAATTCGAGAGTAAATACATTGAAAAAACAGGAGAATACCGAAATGTCAACAAAACCATGATTCGAACTAAAACCCGATAAAACTAGGGCAAAATATAAACAAAGGTAAGATTTACATGGAGAATCTTTAAAATGTACAAGCAGAATAAGACCAGATGTTCCAGAAGGGTAAGCGTCTTCTGCTTTATTGACGACTCCGCCATGTAAATCTAAGTCAAATATAGGTAACATCACGTCCTAACATCGAGATCTCGGGTAGTGACAACAAAACCACAAGCCATACTAGTGAGCATAATAAAAAAACACGACCTTCATATAACACACAATTTTTTCCCCATATTTCCCTATGAGATGGTAACGCATAAGCTACTACACAGGAACAAAACTACACATTCATCCGTATTTATAAAGGTATAGCATATGTATTTATAACAAATCAATATTTCAAAACAAAAGAAAAAATACCGAATAAAAAGAACAAAACATATTAAAAGTTTGTTTTGGCACCAATGTCCTGAAGACAGGGAACCAACTGATCTAGGTCCGCCATTGGCACCGATGTCCTCAAGACAGGGAACCAACTGATCTAGGTCCGCCACTGGCACCGATGTCCTACATATTGACCCCAGTGGTGACAACACTGTACGTTTCACAGACGAATTTACCTGCTACTCGATAATGTATCACCTGGACGTCTTGTGCACATACTATTGTATGTTCACTGGTTAAAATTTCAACCTCCTGGTTATTAAAAACTTCAACTTCCTGTATTCAACAAGTGTATATATCAATACATATTCGAAATAATAAGCAATGTCTAATTCCTATCCCTACAACAAACACTTCCATGCGAAATTAAAAAACAAATCGGTTATCAATGAGATATACCTACCTAGTATCTGTAGAAACACTAGGACTGAGGCTAGAAATATCTGCGCCATTTTGTTCTTGTCGTATTTAGTGTGTTGTTTACCCCTCGACAGACCTGTATACATGCATGGGGAAATATCTATACAACACACGATGTACAATTCGGCTATTAAAGGGCTATTGTCCACATGTCGGTGTAGTTTTACAAGTCACGAGCTGAAACACAGTCCAATAGGGGATTAGCTTCAGGACATGACTGGACATACAATGTATAACATACCTACCTACTTATATAACCGAACCTCTGTATTTGTAAAGCCATCGTTCAACTACACGTAACACGCACCAAACAAATACCGTTTACTGTGATTAAATACTTCAAACTGCGCCTACAATTTAATGCCATCCGTTGTTTGAACAGTTTGGTTAAGTTCCATTCATTTACCTAATTTTGTGCTGATTTTTAACCTATTACAGATTACAGGAAATTTAAAAAGAATAGTACGTACCCCTTCCCAAATACAGAAAAAAATAACCCTCTACATTTTTCAAAGTGCAGAATTTTCAATAATCAAGTTTTAATAATCAATCAAGTTTTAATAAGTAGAAATTGAACTTTATGGAAATTGCAAGCTTTTTATTTCAATGTGAAGTAAACAAGTAAAATATATATACATACTTTTGCTCAGTATATACATTTTAGATTGTTTCTGGTGTCAAAAGGGAAAAGTATGTTTGAACTTGAGAGATAGTTACGGCGTCATAGAAACAATGTTTACATTTAATGTTTTCATTAACTCATTTTAAAGAACAAAAGCTACGCTTTCTTATTACATACCTTCATGAGGAGCCCAACACTCTTCAATAAATGAAACATAATTCATTATGACTGAGACAGTATCATATGAAAAAAAATTCGTTTAAATTAATTTTAATGGTCAACATTTTAAAAGCTTATATCGACAGAGTAAAAATCCATACTCGCCATATTTATCTTATGAACGATTTACGTGTGTATACAGTACGGGCAGGGTAAGCATGTATGGGACCCCCTTGTGTTCGATTATGATATTAAATTCATCAAATAAGTTTCTATGAATGGTCAGGACTTGGGAGTTACTGTCTCTGTGAGCCTTGTCTCTGACATCGAATCATTAACATTCAGAAGGACAATCCATGTCCTGTACCGTTACATATATACAATAATTGTTTGCATTCTACGACTGTCTTCTTTGGGATATCTAGCACCAATAGGTTTCGACGGCAAGCTGGGAAAAGCACACAAAAAATGGTTTAAACACATACATTATGAAGCCCAAGATTAAACCCTTCAATTGTAATATAGAATATATGTTTTCGAGTATGATTCTACAGCTGTAAGTGTAAGAGGGGCGATAAAGGCAAGCAAGAACAAGAATGAATCGCCGAATCTTTTGGTTTGATGAAATCTCCAACAGTGATCTGTACAGAAGACCTGACTGTCATGCTGAAATAGAAGAATAACGATCGTCTTTGACTGTTGAGTATGGTCAAAAACCGAATCAAACAGCAGCCCTTAAATTGACACCACTGGTACTGGGTCGTACTACACCCCTGGTAGGTACGGTCGTACTACACCCCTGGTAGGTACGGTCGTACTACACCCCTGGTAGGTAAGGTCGTACTACACCCCTGGTAGGTACGGTCGTACTACACTCCTGGTAGGTACGGTCGTACTACACCCCTGGTAGGTATGGTCGTAGTACACTCCACTCCTGGTAGGTATGGTCGTACTACACCCCTGGTAGGTATGGTCGTACTACACTCCTGGTAGGTAAGGTCGTACTACATCCCTGGTAGGTACGGTCGTACTACACACCTGGTAGGTATGGTCGTACTACCCCCCTGGTAGGTATGGTCGTACTACTCTCCTGGTAGGTACGGTCGTACTACACACCTGGTAGGTATGGTCGTACTACCCCCCTTGTAGGTATGGTCGTACTCCACCACTGGTAGGTATGGTCGTACTACACTCCTGGTAGGTACGGTCGTACTACACCCCTGGTAGGTACGGTCGTACGACACTCCTGGTAGGTATGGTCGTACTACACCCCTGGTTGGTAAGGTCGTACTACACCCCTGGTAGGTAAGGTCGTACTACACTCCTGGTAGGTATGGTCGTACTACACTCCTGGTAGGTATTGGAGAAAATTGTCATATTTGTTTGCTGTAACCGGTCCTGTCGATTAAAAGTTGTTTTAACTTTCACATGATTGATATCAAACCAAGTACGATCTTTTTCATTAAACACAATATATATTTCCAAATGTCTCTGAAGTTGTGGACTATTCAATCGTGTATATATGGCTGAACAAACTAATACTTAAGGAATTATGGGTTTATGGACATATTGAATTAATCGCGTTAGCGATTCATGTAAAATATGTTCAAAAACCTATTGTTGTTATGACCTCATAAATGTTGAAAAAATAAATATCATTCCTTATATTTACATTGACGAATCCTTTCAGTGGATCGATATAACAACGAATAAAACAAATAAACAGGGTTCGTTCCTGCTTATACACGGGTGCAACGCATTGGCGAGAACAGTGTTTTTTTCGCGGGGAAATGTGACACTATCGTGAGAGATCTTAGCAACCGTCAACAACAATAACACAACAAAATGTAGTTCCATATTCAATGTTTATTTTTAGCACAGGACACGTGAATACGTGAATATTTCACAAAGCACAGTTCAATAATATTTTAAGATGTAAGAATTAGCATCTAGGTCGGTCGTTTGATTGATTGATTGATTGATTGATAGGTTTTACGTCCGCTTAACTACCGGATGTATCGGTTATCCAGCAGACGAAGGTCGGTCGTTCCGAGTGAGTAGTTTTTGTAGTGTATTACTACGCAGTGTGATCAGGGTACTATCAGTTCCAACGTGCTGAGATTCTATGAACACCTGTGTTATGCATTGATGAATGTATTTTTTGTCAATGGGTCTAAGCATACAGAATGTAAATATATGTACATAGTAGATATCTGAGCACGTTATCAGAGTTCAAATATTTGATACTATAATATACATACTGGATATAGAAGTTAGAAATTGAATGGATATCTAGTAAGATAAATCATTGAAAGATAAGCCATAGTGGTGTCTCAGTTTTGATATTCAGTTTTTCGAAATTATTATATATGTCGGATGAATTATCGGACCATGATTATGACAGTATTTATGAACTTGAGGCATAGTACTGCAAGACTTAGATGTTTATTTCATCTGGCACGACACAATGTGCATAAACAAGTAGTGCACATCCATGGTGAAATGTATCAGCAAATTTAAATATTTACTACATCACAAACAAAAGAAGCAAAACAAACGAAATCATTCTCAACAATAACATTTATTCAACATACATAAATATACACCGTTTCACACTTAACATACAGAAATGTATACTCTTAGTTTCAGTAGGTAAAACATGCATCAATATATCACAGGTAAAAATATATAGAACATAAATAATATATCATGCTCTCTGTGTTTGTCTTGAAATAATAACTATCTTGAAATAGTTAAGACAACCGTGTATGTCTAGTCCTACAGACAGGGAACATATTCTGGCCATGTCCGATGAGTTTGTACATTGTAGACATAGGGTAACCGCATTTGGTGTCACAAAATAGTGTCACACACGGTAAATATAACCTATGAAATCTCTAATAATACGTATGAAATAATTAAATATAACCTAAAGTCGGTTTTAAAATTTAAAATGACACTCTTTTTTTGTAAACCCCAAAAAAGGTTTTAAAATAATTGACGTTTGACAATCTAAAGGTTTACAACGTAATACTGTTACATCAACATTGTATGACAAACTTGGAAATAATTACATTACTCGTAGTCCAATTAACTTAAATTGTCATGGGTAAAATCATGATAGTTGTTGCATTGATCACAGTTCATTATAATAAAGCTGTCAATCTACAACAATGATCCAGGTTTGTTGTAATAAAGGATGGCTGTATATTAACATGATTCCACAGTTCCCTGTCAAAGCCGCCTCCCGGATCCTTCTATTTCTGGTTCCTATGCCACTCCTAGATCTTTCTATTTCCGGTTCCAATGCCACTCCTGGGTCCCACTCTTTCCGGTTCCTAGCTGTACCATTCCAAGTCCTGTTGATTTTCCACTCTCTCCTGTCGAATTCTAGTCCTCCTTTAAATGACATTAAGGGAAACATCAGTCAACGAAATTAGCTCTAACAATATGATGATGAGATATATAGCATGTAAGTTTGTAACACTCTTGTTTATACCAACACTTTTATGATGGATAGTTCTGTTTTATACCTTATCATTGTATTGCCTTCATGAATGAATAAAATGAATAAAACATAATAATGAATTATTTTAGACCTAGTTTGCTTCTATTTCACATGTATATGTTTGACTACCGTTGCCAACACAAATCCTTTAAGTTGGTATTACAAACAGAAATATAACCAAACATACATTCTGTAATAGATTCGCCATGCACAACATAGTTTGTTTGCTGCTAGTAAGATTGTAATATTATTAAATCCACAAAAAAAGAAGAACCAAACAGGAGACCCTTGTCATAGGGCATCGACATTAATAGGGAGATCACTGGCCAGAAAAGACCACGTGATAAAACCATGGTGTCCCAGTAAGAATACTCCAGAGTGATACCAATTCCCCTGATGATTTAATACATGATATAAGATAGTTTTAACAAAATTAGTAATAAAACCTAACGGATAATTAGTAAGTCACAGATAAGGTGAACTTGTCAAATTTAACTGACAAATATGTACCTAAATTTAAAATATTTTTCAAAAACTGTTTCAGGGTGTGTTGTCCTTAATTAGCAAAAAAGTGTATAACAATAATTAAGATACAGTGCAGATGAGGCTATGATTGTGACTAAATACACAGAATATCAACAAAGAATATAAATAAGGCTTCTGAAGCATGATGAAAGCTGAAAAGTCTATTCTACAGCTATTTTTCCTAATGTCTAGGCTACAAACAAAATGGAAATACAAGTTGGAACTCAGCTAATTTAGAAGTGCAGGAATATGTGTTCACTAGATAAAGTCATAGATTCTATTTAAAAGCATTCAATATCAAATCAGTTTTCTATTTGGATATTCAGCCAATACATATATGAAACTAAAATAATAAAGTTATAAATACCATTGTCGAACGGAAAGCATTATATTAAGAACAAAAACCTAATTACGCAGATGCTGACCCAACAATAATAATCTTGCAATTTCGGCACAAAAGTCGTGTCGTGTCTAAATATGTGAATGATAATTTCTTGATTGCTATACCATGAACCCTACAAATAACTGTATATGTAATCAGAACTGCAAGCAATATTTTAGTACGATATATTGAACTGAACAAAACAAAGCGTACATCTACAAATCTACATGTTGAGTCATAAGAAAATAATAATTACATATCAAATATTAAGCAATAAAATAAATTAAAGTAGAAAGTGATAAAAAAGTATAAACAGAAATATTTTTAAGACTCTTCAAAGAGAACAGGTCAATTTGTCTTGCGACAGATTCATAAGGTAATTCAAAATGTGAGTTTTGATGGCGTTCTTTCTCAAGCAAAGTCACAGAACATGACTGAAACCATCTGTTCGTCGTATAGATAGTGTACAAGTTATTACATCTTACATCTTAAATATGAACCAATACTGAATTATTTTGGAGATCGAATAAATCAAAAGTTATTTCAGTTTGTTAAGAATCTCGATATTAGTCAAATAAAGAGTAGAAAGCGAAACATTTTTTGCTCGTAACAAGTTGCTTTACTTTATTTCAAGACACTAAATCTTCTCTAAATTGTCTCCAAATGGAAACGCGGTTTAATCCATCGAACAGTTTCTCTTGAGAGTGGCCAAGAGTGATCCATTCAGTAAACATTACAGTAAGATTAATTCTGCATACACCTTGTCTATTACCCCAATAATGAGGTTAACTGTAAGGTGTACTACTAAACAGGGTGTCAAACTAACAGGGTGCGACACAAATCGACCTAAACCAGGGTGTTATATACATATATAGTAGAACCATGCAAAATATCAAAATAGACATTTATAACATCACAAACCGATCGAAGCTTCTCAATTCTGAGTGTACGGGCGACCAGCCTCCTGTTCAAAGTTTGAATGGATATACATAAAGAGAAACAACAACAAACACGATATTATAGATATAAAATAAACATAAACATAACTAGCGTTTTCTAATATAAGTATGCAATAATGTATAAATATGAACAGATGTTGCCCTGTTTATGACTATAAAAAATAAAAAGGCTATATCTAAACAGCTTTTATTGTAGAAGATTTTTCATCCTAAGAAATGGAATGTTTACGTCTGCTTTTAAAACAGGAATGAATAATCATTATACAAATGTTTGGCTTAATTTGCTTCGTTTTCTTTTGAAGTATTGTCGAATTGTTTTAATAGTAAATAGTTCTGTTGTTCATGTGCATTTTTACACAAGGCATTTTAAGCATTCTCAGATAACACCCGTTTGTCTTATTCCACCACTTGTGATGGAAACTCTGTATTTTACAGGTCACATCAAGTACGTAACAATACCAGAGGATACCATAAATACAAACAGTAGTTCAAACTCAAAGTCGATATAACTAGTTTTTGAACAAAGGAAAGATTAACATGGGGATCCTTGAAAAAAGACCACGGAGAATATGATCAGGTGTTCCGGAAGTGTAAGTAAACTGTGACATAAGTGAGATAATATCTTGTCTTTGTTTAATAACTAGCATGATGTGCTGTTAGTTACTATTATATGCAATTCAGGAATAGAATCTGATGGTTTGAATAAAATTTCAGCTCTTTAAACGAAATTTAAAGACAACAAATGTTCCTAAAAGTCAATAAATTGTTGACATTGGCATTTAATTAGTTACGCATTGCCACAGATTGGCATAGGTATATTTAACAAGTGTTTAATGCTTCTATATATTGTGTTAATCTGCTTTCTAATACTGTGCAATATACATTAAATTCTACCATGGATGTGAAACATCTGGTTTAATGAACAGTGTATCATGTGTAAATAATGAATAGGCTGAGTTTTATATTATTTGAAGTGATTGTGGTTTAATTCATTTAATTTGTTTTTACAATGTTCATTTGCATCAGTTTTTAATAATGTCTCATAGCCACTAAACTTTTCGTATAGGTAAATCATGCATCTTTGTAATTTACTTTAATTGCTGTTTTTTCACAAGATAAATGATGCCAGGGTCATGAATATCGCATTAAAAATTGATACCCGGCATGAATATCGCATTAAAAATTGATAACCAATTATCATATTTTAATGATATTCTGAATGTAAAATCATATCATAAAACTGTTGAATTTTCATGATAATAAATCAGGCATTCAAAAATTGATAACCAATGCATGTAATCATACTTTTACTGTGTCCTGAACAGAAATTCACATTAATAAAAGATTGTTTAATTAATGTCTGGGTCATTAATTTCTTTTAAAAATTAATAACCACGTAACATTTTTAACGATGTTCTGAATATAAAAATTGTGAAATTACCATGAATAAATCATTTAATTGTCATCAAAACAAAACTAATTTACTTGATATAAACCATTTTAATCATGTGTAAGTTTATTGATTTTTAATGGAGTAAAAAAGCATGGAATATGAATACTAAATCAATCGCCCTAGGATGTAGTAACGTGAGCGTGTGAGCACTCTGTAGTGAAATGTAGTTAGTTTAAGCTTACTACATTGTATCAATGAAACTGTTCAAATTGTATATAGTGACATCTTGTGTAGTTAATACATTTAATTGTAAATGATAAATTTTACATGAATTTATCAATTGAAAAAAACAACCTTTCTGTATAAATTACTGAAGAGGCTTGCATCTTTTCAATTAATCAGAAACATATCATTATGAAACATGAGTTTTTCTATCTGTGATTGTAGTTGGATCATTTGTATTTATTACTCCCTTACCTTGCAATGTTTGTGGCCAGGTTCTTGACAGACATCATCGTGATCAATGGCTCATCAGTCTCAACCAATTGTAACTCATGGGTTTTCTTTTCTAGAAATACAAAAAACAAATCTTAAACACAATAAAATACCACATGACTGTGGGGAAAACAATGAAAAATAATGTTCAGACAGAGAAGATGATGCATCATGTTCAAATTATGCAATTAAAGAAAATAAACACTTTTACTATTACATACTCTAACAAGAATATATGATGCTGACAGAGTTTACCACAAAAAGATTGCTTAAAAGGAAAGATTTTTGTTTTTTCAAGCTATTTGAACCATGAATAAAACTAAGTAAATGTTAATACCTCTTTAAAGTAAAACAATAACTAGACTACAAATATGGCACTTTAGGTTTTTGCTTTACAAAACCTATACAGCATAAAATAACACCTGGAACTTTATAGAATCACTTTGTTTTAATGACATGAAATTGACAGATATTTAAAAAAATATATATAAAAAAGATATATTGAGTTTTTAACAACACTCCACAAAAATGTTTTTTGCCAAAATAAACCTTTGAATTTTGCTCAAAGTACTCTACCTATACTATTCCTATCAGCAATAATAACATTAAATTTTATTATAAAACAACATGCTACTAGTCATGTTAGGTAAATTAGACAATAATTCCTCAATATCTTAAAAAGTTACTCATGAATTGAAAACAACAAAAATGAAAATGCATGTGAGCACTAAGGCATACCTGAAGCAAAATAGTTTGACTTCTGGATGTCAAATACACAAAGGATCCCACTTACAAGGCATAAGAAAAATTGTGAATTCAACCTTTTTTCAAGACATCGGGCCTCTCTATGATCTCAGGGTTTGGTCAGGTGTAATTGAGAAACATCCAATTTTGTCCAGATCTCGTATGAATATACCCACAACTATCTTGAACTATGGAAATTACAACGCTATAAAAAGCTTTATGTGAACCTAGTTTAACTCATTCACCACTGAAGACACATTTGAACTCTTCCTGTTCAAAGGTTGGAATAGTTCATTATATAATTTTATGGGTGAATGAGTAAACTTATGTCTATATACTAGACAAGGGAGATAATCCCCCTCACCCTGATAGGACATCACTTCACACAGAGCAGAGCAAAACAAAACTAGAGTCTCAGTGTTCTGGACAAGGGAAATAATTTACACCAACTTAAACTCAACAGATAACCCACCTGAACCTGAGCTATGGGGCCGTTCTCTCCATTGTATTACTTTATTGGCTACATTTTCACGTGTCACATTTGCAATCTGGAGTAGGTACAGGTAACCACAAATCTCTGGACAGTGGTCAAGGTTAATTAAGCTATATTCAAAAAACACCAAAATACAGTTTGTAGTATAAAATACCTTAATTGGTTGTTTGGAATAAAAAAAATGAGAATAAGAAATATGACAATGATGAGTATGATAATTATAAAGTCAAATTTTGTACCTAGGATGCTTCCACTACAAAATCTACACAGGTCTAGCTTACTTATCAAATATATACAGCTCTCTATACCACTAACTGCAGTTTTCTGTATCTATAGCTGGTAATGACCACTACCAAATATATACAGCTCTCTATATATACCACTAACTGAAGGTCTCTGTATCCTGGTAATAACCACTACCAAATATATACAGCTCTCTATACCACTAACTGCAGTTTTCTGTATCTAGCTGGTAATGACCACTACCAAATATATACAACTCTCTATATCACTAACTGCAGTTCTCTGTATCCTGGTAATGACCACTACCGAATATATACAGCTCTCAATACCACTAACTGCAGTTCTTGGAATCTAGCTGGTACTGACCACTACCAAATATATACAGCTCTCTATATATACCACTAACTGAAGGTCTCTGTATCTAGATGGTAATGACCACTACCAAATATATACAGTTCTCTATACCACTAACTGAAGGTCTCTGTATCCTGGTAATGACCACTACCAAATATATACAGTTCTCTATACCACTAACTGAAGGTCTCTGTATCCTGGTAATAACCACTACCAAATATATACAGCTCTCTATACCACTAACTGCAGTTTTCTGTATCTAGCTGGTAATGACCACTACCAAATATATACAGCTCTCTATATATACCACTAACTGAAGGTCTCTGTATCTAGCTGGTAATGCCCACTACCAAATATATACAGTTCTCTATACCACTAACTGAAGGTCTCTGTATCTAGCTGGTAATGACTACTACCAAATATATACAACTCTCTATATCACTAACTGCAGTTCTCTGTATCCTGGTAATGACGACTACCGAATATATACAGCTCTCAATACCACTAACTGCAGTTCTCTGTATCCTGGTAATGACGACTACCGAATATATACAGCTCTCAATACCACTAACTGCAGTTCTCTGTATCCTGGTAATGACCTCTACCGAATATATACAGCTCTCAATACCACTAACTGCAGTTCTCTGTATCCTGGTAATGACGACTACCGAATATATACAGCTCTCAATACCACTAACTGCAGTTCTCTGTATCCTGGTAATGACGACTACCGAATATATACAGCTCTCAATACCACTAACTGCAGTTCTTGGAATCTAGCTGGTACTGACCACTACCAAATATATACAGCTCTCTATATATACCACTAACTGAAGGTCTCTGTATCTAGATGGTAATGACCACTACCAAATATATACAGCTCTCTATATCACTAACTGCAGTTCTCTGTATCCTGGTAATGACCACTACCAAATATATACAGTTCTCTATACCACTAACTGAAGGTCTCTGTATCCTGGTAATGACCACTACCAAATATATACAGCTCTCTATATCACTAACTGCATCTCTATATCACTAACTGCAGTTCTCTGTATCCTGGTAATGGCCACTACCAAATATATACAGCTCTCTATATCACTAACTGCATCTCTATATCACTAACTGCAGTTCTCTGTATCCTGGTAATGGCCACTACCAAATATATACAGCTCTCTATATCACTAACTGCAGTTCTCTGTATCTAGCTGGTAATGACCACTACCAAATATATACAACTCTCTATATCACTAACTGCAGTTCTCTGTATCCTGGTAATGGCCACTACCAAATATATACAGCTCTCTATATCACTAACTGCATCTCTATATCACTAACTGCAGTTCTCTGTATCCTTGTAATGACCACTACCAAATATATACAGCTCTCTATATATACCACTAACTGAAGGTCTCTGTATCTAGATGGTAATGACCACTACCAAATATATACAGTTCTCTATACCGCTAACTGAAGGTCTCTGTATCCTGGTAATGACCACTACCAAATATATACAACTCTCTATACCACTAACTGCAGTTCTATGTATCTATAGCTGGTAATGACCACTACCAAATATAAACAGCTCTCTATACCACTAACTGCAGTTCTCTGTAACTAGCTGGTAATGACCACTACCAAATATATACAACTCTCTATACCACTAACTGCAGTTCTATGTATCTATAGCTGGTAATGACCACTACCAAATATAAACAGCTCTCTATACCACTAACTGCAGTTCTCTGTAACTAGCTGGTAATGACCACTACCAAATATATACAGCTCTGTATACCACTAACTGCAGTTCTCTGTAGCCTGGTAATGACCACTACCAAATATATACAACTCTCTATACCACTAACTGCAGTTCTATGTATCTATAGCTGGTAATGACCACTACCAAATATATACAGCTCTGTATACCACTAACTGCAGTTCTATGTATCTATAGCTGGTAATGACCACTACCAAATATATACAACTCGGTATACCACTAACTGCAGTTCTTGGAATCTAGCTGGTAATGACCACTACGAAATATATACAGCTCTGTATACCACTAACTGCAGTTCTATGTATCTATAGCTGGTAATGACCACTACCAAATATATACAACTCTCTATACCACTAACTGCAGTTCTATGTATCTATAGCTGGTAATGACCACTACCAAATATATACAACTCTCTATACCACTAACTGCAGTTCTATGTATCTATAGCTGGTAATGACCACTACCAAATATAAACAGCTCTCTATACCACTAACTGCAGATCTCTGTATCCTGGTAATGACCACTACCAAATATATACAGCTCTCTATATCACTAACTGCAGTTCTCTGTATCCTGGTAATGACCACTACCAAATATATACAGTTCTCTATATCACTAACTGCAGTTCTCTGTAACTAGCTGGTAATGACCACTACCAAATATATACAGCTCTGTATACCACTAACTGCAGTTCTCTGTAGCCTGGTAATGACCACTACCAAATATATACAACTCTCTATATCACTAACTGCAGTTCTCTGTATCCTGGTAATGGCCACTACCAAATATATACAGCTCTCTATATCACTAACTGCATCTCTATATCACTAACTGCAGTTCTCTGTATCCTGGTAATGACCACTACCAAATATATACAACTCTGTATACCACTAACTGCAGTTCTTGGAATCTAGCTGGTAATGACCACTACGAAATATATACAGCTCTGTATACCACTAACTGCAGTTCTATGTATCTATAGCTGGTAATGACCACTACCAAATATAAACAGCTCTCTATACCACTAACTGCAGATCTCTGTATCCTGGTAATGACCACTACCAAATATATACAGCTCTGTATACCACTAACTGCGGTTCTCTGTATCCTGGTAATGACCACTACCAAATATATACAACTCTCTATACCACTAACTGCAGTTCTTGGAATCTAGCTGGTAATGACCACTACGAAATATATACAGCTCTGTATACCACTAACTGCAGTTCTGTGTATCCTGGTAATGACCACTACCAAATATATACAACTCTGTATACCACTAACTGCAGTTCTTGGAATCTAGCTGGTAATGACCACTACGAAATATATACAGCTCTGTATACCACTAACTGCAGTTCTATGTATCTATAGCTGGTAATGACCACTACCAAATATATACAACTCTGTATACCACTAACTGCAGTTCTTGGAATCTAGCTGGTAATGACCACTACCAAATATATACAGCTCTCTATATCACTAACTGCATCTCTATATCACTAACTGCAGTTCTCTGTATCCTTGTAATGACCACTACCAAATATATACAGCTCTCTATACCACTAACTGCAGTTCTCTGTAACTAGCTGGTAATGACCACTACCAAATATATACAACTCTCTATACCACTAACTGCAGTTCTATGTATCTATAGCTGGTAATGACCACTACCAAATATAAACAGCTCTCTATACCACTAACTGCAGATCTCTGTATCCTGGTAATGACCACTACCAAATATATACAGCTCTGTATACCACTAACTGCGGTTCTCTGTATCCTGGTAATGACCACTACCAAATATATACAGCTCTGTATACCACTAACTGCGGTTCTCTGTATCCTGGTAATGACCACTACCAAATATATACAACTCTGTATACCACTAACTGCAGTTCTTGGAATCTAGCTGGTAATGACCACTACGAAATATATACAGCTCTGTATACCACTAACTGCAGTTCTATGTATCTATAGCTGGTAATGACCACTACCAAATATATACAGCTCTGTATACCACTAACTGCAGTTCTGTGTATCCTGGTAATGACCACTACCAAATATATACAGCTCTCTATATATACCACTAACTGAAGGTCTCTGTATCTAGATGGTAATGACCACTACCAAATATATACAGTTCTCTATACCACTAACTGCTGTTCTTGGAATCTAGGTGGTAATGACCACTACCAATATACAGCTCTCTATACCACTAACTGAAGGTCTCTGTATCTAGCTGGTAATGACCACTACCAAATATATACAGCTCTCTATATCACTAACTGCAGTTCTCTGTATCTAGCTGGTAATGACCACTACCAAATATATACAGCTCTCTATATCACTAACTGCAGTTCTCTGTATCTAGCTGGTAATGACCACTACCAAATATATACAGCTCTCTATATCACTAACTGCAGTTCTCTGTATCTAGCTGGTAATGACCACTACCAAATATATACAGCTCTCTATATCACTAACTGCAGTTCTCTGTATCTAGCTGGTAATGACCACTACCAAATATATACAGCTCTCTATATCACTAACTGCAGTTCTCTGTATCTAGCTGGTAATGACCACTACCAAATATATACAGCTCTCTATATCACTAACTGCAGTTCTCTGTATCTAGCTGGTAATGACCACTACCAAATATATACAGCTCTCTATATCACTAACTGCAGTTCTCTGTATCTAGCTGGTAATGACCACTACCAAATATATACAGCTCTCTATATCACTAACTGCAGTTCTCTGTATCTAGCTGGTAATGACCACTACCAAATATATACAGCTCTCTATATCACTAACTGCAGTTCTCTGTATCTAGCTGGTAATGACCACTACCAAATATATACAGCTCTCTATATCACTAACTGCAGTTCTCTGTATCTAGCTGGTAATGACCACTACCAAATATATACAGCTCTCTATATCACTAACTGCAGTTCTCTGTATCTAGCTGGTAATGACCACTACCAAATATATACAGCTCTCTATATCACTAACTGCAGTTCTCTGTATCTAGCTGGTAATGACCACTACCAAATATATACAGCTCTCTATATCACTAACTGCAGTTCTCTGTATCTAGCTGGTAATGACCACTACCAAATATATACAGCTCTCTATATCACTAACTGCAGTTCTCTGTATCTAGCTGGTAATGACCACTACCAAATATATACAGCTCTCTATATCACTAACTGCAGTTCTCTGTATCTAGCTGGTAATGACCACTACCAAATATATACAGCTCTCTATATCACTAACTGCAGTTCTCTGTATCTAGCTGGTAATGACCACTACCAAATATATACAGCTCTCTATATCACTAACTGCAGTTCTCTGTATCTAGCTGGTAATGACCACTACCAAATATATACAGCTCTCTATATCACTAACTGCAGTTCTCTGTATCTAGCTGGTAATGACCACTACCAAATATATACAGCTCTCTATATCACTAACTGCAGTTCTCTGTATCTAGCTGGTAATGACCACTACCAAATATATACAGCTCTCTATATCACTAACTGCAGTTCTCTGTATCTAGCTGGTAATGACCACTACCAAATATATACAGCTCTCTATATCACTAACTGCAGTTCTCTGTATCTAGCTGGTAATGACCACTACCAAATATATACAGCTCTCTATATCACTAACTGCAGTTCTCTGTATCTAGCTGGTAATGACCACTACCAAATATATACAGCTCTCTATATCACTAACTGCAGTTCTCTGTATCTAGCTGGTAATGACCACTACCAAATATATACAGCTCTCTATATCACTAACTGCAGTTCTCTGTATCTAGCTGGTAATGACCACTACCAAATATATACAGCTCTCTATATCACTAACTGCAGTTCTCTGTATCTAGCTGGTAATGACCACTACCAAATATATACAGCTCTCTATATCACTAACTGCAGTTCTCTGTATCTAGCTGGTAATGACCACTACCAAATATATACAGCTCTCTATATCACTAACTGCAGTTCTCTGTATCTAGCTGGTAATGACCACTACCAAATATATACAGCTCTCTATATCACTAACTGCAGTTCTCTGTATCTAGCTGGTAATGACCACTACCAAATATATACAGCTCTCTATATCACTAACTGCAGTTCTCTGTATCTAGCTGGTAATGACCACTACCAAATATATACAGCTCTCTATATCACTAACTGCAGTTCTCTGTATCTAGCTGGTAATGACCACTACCAAATATATACAGCTCTCTATATCACTAACTGCAGTTCTCTGTATCTAGCTGGTAATGACCACTACCAAATATATACAGCTCTCTATATCACTAACTGCAGTTCTCTGTATCTAGCTGGTAATGACCACTACCAAATATATACAGCTCTCTATATCACTAACTGCAGTTCTCTGTATCTAGCTGGTAATGACCACTACCAAATATATACAGCTCTCTATATCACTAACTGCAGTTCTCTGTATCTAGCTGGTAATGACCACTACCAAATATATACAGCTCTCTATATCACTAACTGCAGTTCTCTGTATCTAGCTGGTAATGACCACTACCAAATATATACAGCTCTCTATATCACTAACTGCAGTTCTCTGTATCTAGCTGGTAATGACCACTACCAAATATATACAGCTCTGTATACCACTAACTGCAGTTCTATGTATCTATAGCTGGTAATGACCACTACCAAATATATACAGCTCTGTATACCACTAACTGCAGTTCTCTGTATCCTGGTAATGACCACTACCAAATATATACAACTCTCTATACCACTAACTGCAGTTCTCTGTATCTAGCTGGTAATGACCACTACCAAATATATACAGCTCTCTATACCACTAACTGCGTTTCTCTGTATCTAGCTGGTAATGACCACTACCAAATATATACAGTTCTCTATACCACTAACTGCTGTTCTTGGAATCTAGGTGGTAATGACCACTACCAATATACAGCTCTCTATACCACTAACTGAAGGTCTCTGTATCTAGCTGGTAATGACCACTACCAAATATATCCAGCTCTCTATATCACTAACTGCAGTTCTCTGTATCTAGCTGGTAATGATCACTACCAAATATATACAACTCTCTATATTCTAAACCTACCTATATTAAATACCTTCATGTATATACACCATTTAATTTGAGAAACTTATATTTCAAAGGATACGTGACAGTCTCATAATGGGGACCTTCCCCTGGAACCCATCAATCCTGACAGCTTTCTCTGACTCGTAAAACAGTCTGTTTCGGAGTTTATCACTGGCCAGGGGTACAACGGCGTCAATGGCTTCTTTAAACTCCTTATCATTGAGCGTGGGCTGACCGCTCTCCTGAGTCTGGAATGGCAGGATCTTGTGCTCCATCTGATCAAAAGAATATAATTAAAATCCTATAATGTCGTGACATTTACCAGTTGTGACTCCTAAGATTATTTCTAATATATAGATGTTTACATCAGTTCAATGCTTCTATACAAATTTCATAGTGTGACAACACATGTATTTGTGCTGAAATTAACAGTGATGAGTGTGTGTTCATAAAATAGTAAGGTCTGTAGCTTTACAAGAAATGTATCCTCAGTTATGCAAATTTCATGGATTTACAATACCTGATTAAAACTTCTTAAAATAAAACTGTTGTAAAGTAACCCTATATACAGTACTTGAAATTTGAAAATGAGTATGTGATATAGATGTAAGTTGTGGTTGTGTATAAATAATAATATATGTTGATGTACAAGAACAATTTGAAATCATGTTTTAAGGTGAAGCCTTGGGAGATTTAAATGAAATGGAGGATGGAAATCAGAATGTTGTAAGGTTGAAGGGAGATGGCAATACAGTCGAAGAAGATTTCAATGATTGAGGTTGATGGCTGGAGGTTGAATTATGGCTTTCTCACCTCCTGGAAACATGGCTCCCTGTACTTGAGAATCAGGTGCATAAGGAACTGGCAGACAAGTTGTTCTGAGATTCTGTTCTCACTGAAGGAGGTGTAGCTCATCTGTAGGGTCTCCACATCATCCTCCTGTAAAGTATACAGCTTGTCTATACACCAGGGAGAACACTTAATGTTTTTATAGCTTCCAAATGCTTAGATGTCTAGTATAAAATGAAATTGAGAATTAGATCATTAAGAAATAAAACAAATATTTTCACACTCCCCACCCCCTCAAGTAAATAGCCATATAGTATGACATTATTTTTGTTATGTACATTCCACCACCCTTGTAACTGCTCAATTTTATACTTTATATATCTTATTTATGTTTACAATACATTTTTCAATTTAAACAACTTTTGCTTGCATTTTGAAATTTTCTGCCAAACAACCAGGCACTGCTTACAGCACTGTTTGTAACTTACCATTGATCCCATTCCATGCTATACATTCAATGTAAAACAGCTACCACCATATAATAAGCAGCTATCTGACATTCAAGACATTTGTATATAGGGAAATATATCTGATGTGTATTTAGTTCTCACCCAATGAAAATATTTTTTGACAGTCGCGACATACCCAAGTGTAAAAAACACCCAGCATAGAAAAGAATTTTACACCCAGCATAGAAAAGAATAAATAACCTACACAAACTCCCAGAAAAAGGAAGGCAACTCTTGGACTAGGCAATGAGACATACCCCAAGGAAAGGGAAGATAACTGAGACATACCTCAAGGAAAGGGGAAGATAACCGAGACATACCTCAAGGAAAGGGTAGATAACTGAGACATACCCGGGGGGTACCCCAAGGAAAGGGTAGACAACTGAGACATACCCCAAGGAAAGGGTAGATAACTGAGACATACCCCAAGGAAAGGGTAGATAACTGAGACATACCCCAAGGAAAGGGTAGATAACTGAGACATACCCCAAGGAAAGGGTAGAAAACTGAGACATACCCCATGGAAAGGGTAGATAACTGAGACATACCCCAAGGAAAGGGTAGATAACTGAGACATACCCCAACGAAAGGGTAGATAACTGAGACATACCCCAAGGAAAGGGTAGATAACTGAGACATACCCCAAGGAAAAGGTAGACAACTGAGACATACCCCAAGGAAAGGGTAGACAACTGAGGCAAACGCTCGGAAGTCCTCCACCTCCTTCCATTCCACGGCCTGAATGAAATCTGACATCAACATGGCGTAGCGGAACACAGCTCCGTCCAGGTTACCAGCAAGGATGTGGCCAAACACATGGACTGTCTGGAGTCAAAAGTTACAGGTACTGTATGAGATTAACAGGGCGTTACATATATAATAATAATAATTCAATAAAGTACCTGGTATATATTAGGTATATTAAACAGCGAATTGTAAGATATAAAGACTTTAATTAGTATTTTATATGACTGATAAATTACTAAGATTTTAAATAAATATGCTGTTCGGAGAATTTAATCATTCACAGAATGCTTTGGTTTTATTACTAGTAAAGCATCAGATATATATTGTGTCATTTACAACAACGATGCAAAAATTTTGAAATTCCTCAAAACTAGAATGACAAGATCAGCTATAAAACTATAGTCAAGATATAAATGTTTTCATCACCTTATTTATTGCCCCTGACTCTGCCACTGAGGATAAAAAGTCATGAGCACATAGGAACATGATATCTTCTATGATGTATCGCTCCCTCATATACAGGTACACATGGTCCAAGGTCGAGTGGTGAAGGTCATTCTCGTCACCATTCTCGTCTGTCCAGATCATGTATGCCCAAAATTGCTCCACCTGGGACAGTGTTCGTTCCTATGGCGAGATTTTTGAAAATTAAACATTATTGTAATATTGCAATATTAGAATACAAATTTCATGGTTATGTCTCATCCCAGAAAAAGCTGTGACCTCTCTAGAGAGAAGGGCCTGTCTACAGAGACAATCAGTCAAGAAACTCACTCTGTCATGATCATGAGGGCCACTGTAACACCCTGGTAATAACTGTAACTCTACCCACTAGTGTACCCTTGGTTGTTGTCACACTAGTTAGTGAACACTAGTTAGTGTACCCTTGGTTGTTGTCACACTAGTTAGTGTACCCTGGGTTGTCACACTAGTTAGTGTACCCTGGGTTGTTACACTAGTTAGTGTACCCTGGGTTGTTACACTAGTTAGTGTACCGTGGGTTGTCACACTAGTTAGTGTACCCTTGGTTGTTGTCACACTAGTTAGTGTACCCTTGGTTGTTGTCACACTAGTTAGTGTACCCTGGGTTGTTGTCACACTAGTTAGTGTACCCTGGGTTGTTGTCACACTAGTTAGTGTACCCTGGGTTGTTGTCACACTAGTTAGTGTACCCTGGGTTGTTGTCACACTAGTTAGTGTACCCTGGGTTGTTGTCACACTAGTTAGTGTACCCTGGGTTGTTGTCACACTAGTTAGTGTACCCTGGGTTGTTGTCACACTAGTTAGTGTACCCTGGGTTGTTGTCACACTAGTTAGTGTACCCTGGGTTGTTGTCACACTAGTTAGTGTACCCTGGGTTGTTGTCACACTAGTTAGTGTACCCTGGGTTGTTGTCACACTAGTTAGTGTACCCTGGGTTGTTGTCACACTAGTTAGTGTACCCTGGGTTGTTGTCACACTAGTTAGTGTACCCTGGGTTGTTGTCACACTAGTTAGTGTACCCTGGGTTGTTGTCACACTAGTTAGTGTACCCTGGGTTGTTGTCACACTAGTTAGTGTACCCTGGGTTGTTGTCACACTAGTTAGTGTACCCTGGGTTGTTGTCACACTAGTTAGTGTACCCTGGGTTGTTGTCACACTAGTTAGTGTACCCTGGGTTGTTGTCACACTAGTTAGTGTACCCTGGGTTGTTGTCACACTAGTTAGTGTACCCTGGGTTGTTGTCACACTAGTTAGTGTACCCTGGGTTGTTGTCACACTAGTTAGTGTACCCTGGGTTGTTGTCACACTAGTTAGTGTACCCTGGGTTGTTGTCACACTAGTTAGTGTACCCTGGGTTGTTGTCACACTAGTTAGTGTACCCTGGGTTGTTGTCACACTAGTTAGTGTACCCTGGGTTGTTGTCACACTAGTTAGTGTACCCTGGGTTGTTGTCACACTAGTTAGTGTACCCTGGGTTGTTGTCACACTAGTTAGTGTACCCTGGGTTGTTGTCACACTAGTTAGTGTACCCTGGGTTGTTGTCACACTAGTTAGTGTACCCTGGGTTGTTGTCACACTAGTTAGTGTACCCTGGGTTGTTGTCACACTAGTTAGTGTACCCTGGGTTGTTGTCACACTAGTTAGTGTACCCTGGGTTGTTGTCACACTAGTTAGTGTACCCTGGGTTGTTGTCACACTAGTTAGTGTACCCTGGGTTGTTGTCACACTAGTTAGTGTACCCTGGGTTGTTGTCACACTAGTTAGTGTACCCTGGGTTGTTGTCACACTAGTTAGTGTACCCTGGGTTGTTGTCACACTAGTTAGTGTACCCTGGGTTGTTGTCACACTAGTTAGTGTACCCTGGGTTGTTGTCACACTAGTTAGTGTACCCTGGGTTGTTGTCACACTAGTTAGTGTACCCTGGGTTGTTGTCACACTAGTTAGTGTACCCTGGGTTGTTGTCACACTAGTTAGTGTACCCTGGGTTGTTGTCACACTAGTTAGTGTACCCTGGGTTGTTGTCACACTAGTTAGTGTACCCTGGGTTGTTGTCACACTAGTTAGTGTACCCTGGGTTGTTGTCACACTAGTTAGTGTACCCTGGGTTGTTGTCACACTAGTTAGTGTACCCTGGGTTGTTGTCACACTAGTTAGTGTACCCTGGGTTGTTGTCACACTAGTTAGTGTACCCTGGGTTGTTGTCACACTAGTTAGTGTACCCTGGGTTGTTGTCACACTAGTTAGTGTACCCTGGGTTGTTGTCACACTAGTTAGTGTACCCTGGGTTGTTGTCACACTAGTTAGTGTACCCTGGGTTGTTGTCACACTAGTTAGTGTACCCTGGGTTGTTGTCACACTAGTTAGTGTACCCTGGGTTGTTGTCACACTAGTTAGTGTACCCTGGGTTGTTGTCACACTAGTTAGTGTACCCTGGGTTGTTGTCACACTAGTTAGTGTACCCTGGGTTGTTGTCACACTAGTTAGTGTACCCTGGGTTGTTGTCACACTAGTTAGTGTACCCTGGGTTGTTGTCACACTAGTTAGTGTACCCTGGGTTGTTGTCACACTAGTTAGTGTACCCTGGGTTGTTGTCACACTAGTTAGTGTACCCTGGGTTGTTGTCACACTAGTTAGTGTACCCTGGGTTGTTGTCACACTAGTTAGTGTACCCTGGGTTGTTGTCACACTAGTTAGTGTACCCTGGGTTGTTGTCACACTAGTTAGTGTACCCTGGGTTGTTGTCACACTAGTTAGTGTACCCTGGGTTGTTGTCACACTAGTTAGTGTACCCTGGGTTGTTGTCACACTAGTTAGTGTACCCTGGGTTGTTGTCACACTAGTTAGTGTACCCTGGGTTGTTGTCACACTAGTTAGTGGACCCTGGGTTGTTGTCACACTAGTTAGTGTACCCTGGGTTGTTGTCACACTAGTTAGTGTACCCTGGGTTATTGTCACACTAGTTAGTTGCCCTGGGTTGTTGTCACACTAGTAAGTGTACCCTAGGTTGTTGTCACACTAATTAGTATACCCTGGGTTGTTGTCACACTAGTTAGTGTACCCTGGGCTATTGTCACACTAGTTAGTTGCCCTGGGTTGTTGTCACACTAGTAAGTGTACCCTGGGTTGTTGTCACACTAGTTAGTGGACCCTGGGTTGTTGTCACACTAGTTAGGGTACCCTGGGTTGTTTTCACACTAGTTAGTGTACCCTGGGTTATTGTCACACTAGTTAGTGTACCCTGGGTTGTTGACACACTAGTTAGTGTACCATTGGTTGTCACACTAGTTAGTGTACCCTTGGTTGTTACACTAGTTAGTGTACCCTGGGTTGTTGTCACACTAGTTAGTGTACCCTGGGTTGTTGTCACACTAGTGGGTGCAGATGCAACCACTGTTGTGACAGATCACAATGCACATTTCTTACGACTGTTTATCTAGAGAGTCTGTCCAGAGGGACTACCTGAAATGATTGGCTGTCTTTCTTCATAGAAAGACTACTTTCATGATCGGACATCTTTTTATATTTACTTTGATTGTTTGTCTAGAGAGATCATGTGTCATGAGAAAACACCTTTCTAGGGAAACTTCCTGTTATGAGAGAACACTACCTGTCATAAAGACCATATTCCTAGAAAGTTTACAGAAGTTGTATGTCTATAGAGGGTCCCATATAGTCTTGGGAGAGGTCTCTGGATGTCTGACCTGTGATGGATTTCCCATAAATAGAAAGTTTACATATCTGTCAATCATGAAGATCAGATAATAATATAAAAACATTATAATTACCAGGGAGAGTTGTCGTGGAATGTTCCTCTCCAAGTGAGTTCTGTCCTTGTAGTCATCAAACAGCCTGTGCATGGTGTGTTGCTGAGAACAGGTAAGATACGTAATGTTTACAGGCTGACAAACAGTATATAACATTATAATTATTTTATTATGTGTATACATTATTAGGGTCTCAATCAAAAGTTTTGCAATGATAGAAATATTTACGTCTTTCATAGTGCATATGACAAGGGTAAATAAAAACAAGCATTTGATCTGGGAAGCAATTCAGTGAGAAATACAACAGGAGTTGGGGATAATAACTTCTGATTTCATCAACTGTTTAATATACATAAAATGTACCTGGGTAATTTCCCTTTACTTACAGTTATTATTCGAACATGCAGTGTTGATAATTACTTAAAACTTTACTCATGTTGGAGTGTACAGTGAATATCATTTCAACAATACCTGATAGTTTATGTAAATCAGGTAATTGTATGTCTGACACTAGACTAGCTCATATTTCTGCTTCACATTTTTATACATCATTGAAATTACAAACCAAAAATACACCATAACTGTAGTATATAACAGAACATTATAGATATAAAATGAAAGTAGCTGTTAATTAGGATCATACAGGCTTCAGTAACCTAGCTGATGTCTGATAAACAAGTATTAAGTGTGATTGTCCTTATTGACTGGGCTAGAGCACAGGACCAACAGACAGTACAATCATGTAGTCCTTCTGGACTCAACAGCAAGAACACGATAATTGATAGCTTAGTTTTCTCCAAAACACACACAAACACACCAGCCAGTGTAAAAAAGCATCATAAACTCAGCATTAATTTACTTTAGTCAGTCTAATAAGGTTTTAAACTTGAAATAAGTAAGTTAGCATATATAATGTATACTGGCCTGTCTGTAATAAAATAGCACAATATGCATATAATATTAAAAGAAAATAAGCTCCACAATTTCGGTATTACTTACTGGTCTCCCTGTAAACCCATCCTATGGAACAAACAGTACAGATACTATTGTATCACAGAATCTAAGAAGAAATCTCTTGAAAACATATTACATATGCATATTCTTACAATATCTGCAACAGGTAAAAGTTTTGGAGATATGTAAATTAACAACAAATTACCATGAGATATATATGTGACTTTTACATGTGCAGAATTATTCCTCAAAAATGTTATCCAGATTTGATATCTCTTTGTCTTTTAAATTAACTTCATGTAACATTTGATCCAAAATCTGATGACCAGTATCACAACAGTAATAATTACCATATGAGCCTCACTGCCCACTAGACTTGGACTCTCCCTAGAGGTGGCCGGAGTCTGGATGGTCATCACACTACTGTCCATACGGGGGCGACTGTAGGATGCTGCTGTGGACGGCATGTCGAAGGACAGCTCTGGACTACGCGGCTTCATCATCTCACTGTATACAAGGGTCAATTTAAATCAATAACTGAGAGTCTATCAACTCAAATTAATATGTTTGTTTCCAAGGTTTGACAATGAAACAGATTAAAATCCAAATTTATAACTGAGAGTTGATAAACTCAAATCTATTCGTGTATTTTCAAGGTTTGACAATGAAACAGAATAAATGTTCCATATTATGTGAGCATCACATGCTTATGATTACAACTAGATGATTAACTTACTCGATGAGTTCCTTGTTGATTCGGACCTTTGGCCGTGTGATTTTGATGTGGGTCGTGTTGTGTGGGAGAACAATGACCTTGTCAACACCAGGCAACTTGTGTGGACATATCACGGTCTACAAGGAGAATTAACAGTACAAAAAAAAAAAAATCCGATTTACAATTACAAATCTGCATAAAATAAACTTTCTTCTAAAGACATCAAAGGGATAAAAAAAATCAGCACATGAAATTATTATGTTTCGCTAAATCAATTTGAAAAGACCGTACCTGCACAATCCACTATTTGGAATTATTCTTTATAGATTACTATGGCTGTATGACCTTCAAACTAAAAAATCTTAACACTCAGATCAGAAGACATAAATCATTGCATGAGACACAGTAGGTAACGATAATGCATTATTAGCTTTATACTATAACTGGAACAGCGTAAATCCAGGGGTAGAGCCAACGCCGTGACTTTTTATTAAGGTTCCGTTGGTTCTTTATATCCCTTGCCCGGATACCACCCGGTATGCAGGGCGATTGAAAGAATAGGGGAAACTAAGTATATAAGACAATCGCAACAGGTTCGGGATAAGTTGATTTTTATTCGTGTGAATCGTCTACCGGTTTCGCCCGAACAGTGGGCTTCTTCAGGACAAAGTTTTAACAAATTTTTACCCCTAAGGTACTGAAAATCGGGAGAAAGTTTTCATTGTTATTTGTGACGTCATACAATAGACATCACATGATCATAAAATAACGGTAACTCATTAAAAGTTCTATGATATTCCATCACGGTTACTGTTGTCATTTATAGTTCAATTTTCGGAATTAACAGTGAAAAGATTAAAGTAAATACGCATTAGTTTCTAATATGCTTGAATGGTGGTACAGAAACATATATATATATTTATATAACATAGTCATTCTTCTGATCCTCATCTCAACTAGGCATCATAGACTCGTTCATCTAGGCACACCGTCGACATAGACTCAGACTGGTAATCCAATCTCCGGTAGTCGACCGTAGATGATATGTTGGAGTTTGATGCTGTATCATCACTATCGGATAATTCTAGGTCTTTCTTTAATTCCTCCAGTGCCAAATCCAAAACAGGTCGATAGTTTTACAGGCCGGCCCGACTGTGTCGTATGGGCCGTCCGCTGGTTTCAATCGGAATTTTATCTGTTGTATTTGTTTCTTAGTCAGCACCTCGAACGGGCGCTTATCCTCCGGTTTCTTTGCGTTCATCCTAGTGTTGTCCTGGAAAATTTCAGGTTCCACTTGATATCCTGGGTGTTTTTTCTTTAAATGTTCGTTGTACGCCCCTTTCCTTCCGTAAGTACGTTTACAAATTTTACATCGGTGCCATGTTTTCAGTATGGTGTTTGCTGTATCTGCAGGTCTTCTCAGGTTTCCTTAACTTGAGTACGTTTTGCCGCATCTTATGCACGGTATTTTCTGCTTTTCTTGCTTTCTTTTATCTGTTGCCTGTTTCCGAGGTGTTAGTTTTGTGCGCGCCATCACGATATAATATTAAGACCTTCTGGCTGCGTTGTTCTAAGTATCCTGATCCAACTCTCTTCAATTCTCAGGCGACGGTTGGTATCGCTGACGTTCGATAACAGACCGGTGACTATGACGTCACTGGTATTGTGATCTGACGACGTGAAATGTCCCGCCACCGGCTTGTCTGGGTGTTTGTTAATGATGCTATACAAATGATTGCGGATGCGTGTATTTATCGTCGTCGATGTTTGTCCGACATACTGCATGCCGCATTTTTTACATGATATTAGGTACACCGCGTTCACACTTTGGCATGTGACATGTCCCTGTACTTTATATTCTAATCTGGTAGTGTGACTTGTAAAGTGGATAGTGGGTTTCATATGCGCACATATTCTGCAGTTACTTCCGCACGGACCACTGCCCGGTTGGATAGAGTCACGGCAGATATCGCTCTTCACTAATACATTCCTAATGGACTTGGGTCTGGTGTAGGCCATTATCATTTTGTAATCCAACAGGCCCCTGGTTCCCGGGCCCTGACCTAAGATGTGTTTGTATTTTTTGAGGAATAATCCAATCGGTGGGTTTGCTGGGTTGTGAGGGATAACGAAAGGTATTACCTTGCGGCTGTTCTCTTTCATTTCAGGGTTTAATAATTCTTCCCTAGACACGGCTCGTGCTTTATTGACTGCCTCGGTCAGTAGGTTAAACGGGTATCCTCTTTTCCTGAATCTCTCTATTAGGTTGGAGCATTCCTGTTCGAAGTGATTTGGGTCACTGCATATTTTCTTGATTCTTAATGCTTGTGAATACGGGATACTGGTTTTACAACGTTTGGGGTGACAGCTATGGTAGTGCAAGTATAGAAACGCATTCGTGGGTTTGTTATACAGTTTGCTTCCCAAGCTGCCGTCCGGTTGTTTGTATATAGTGGTGTCTAAGAAGTTGACCTCGGTATCGCTGATATCAAAGGTGAACTTAATTGTAGGGTGGTTTGAGTTCATGGCTTCACAGAAGGAAGCAAGTTCCTCTCTTGTATGTGTCCATATAAAGAAAATGTCATCTATATATCTCCACCAAACTAGTGGTATTTTTTCTTGTGTGGCTAGGAATTTCTTCTCAATGTAATCCATGAAAATTATTGCATAGTTAGGTGCCATCTTGGTCCCCATGGCGGTGCCTAGTTTCTGCAAGTAATGGTCCGTGTTGAACCTAAAACAGTTGTTTGTTAATATTAGTGCAATCATCCGAAGGATGATCCACGTGCTGGGTTGTGCACGCGGACCTCTCTCATCTAAGGCTAACTTCGCTGCCCTAATTCCTTCTGCGTGCGGGATAGATGTGTACAGCGACGATACGTCCGCTGTACATAGTATACTCCCCGTCTGTAATTGGCCTAAGTTTTTTATTCTTCGTAGGAAATCGTTGCTATCTTTCAAATATGAGTCTGTGTTCATGGCTAGTGGTTTAAGATGGTGATCTACAAATTCTGATATCTTTTCTGTGCAGCTGCCTATTTGCGATACTATGGGTCTTCCCGGATTACCTGCTTTGTGTATTTTAGGTAGTGTGTAAAATATCGGGGTTCGGGGATTCTTAGGCGTTAGGTATTTGATTTCATTGTCGGTTAATAGCTCTCTTTCTTTTATGAACTTAAGAAAACTTGTTATCTTTTTTATGACTAATGGGTTTAGATCTGATTTGACTTTCTCATAGTGAGTACTATCATGTATTTGCCTATATATAACTGGAACAGAATAGATGTCCAGGTGTTTGTAACACTTGGTAGGTAGTCCTTCCATAATCACCTTTTCACCACAGCTGGAGCAGAACTTGGCATCCTTAAACTCCTCAAATGACTTAGACATGTTATTAGAGGTGTACAGCATGGCAGCATATTTGGCAAAAACCCGCTCCTGGGGGATAAATGGATCTGCATCCCCCTCCTCATCAGCCTCTGTGTCTTGGAGACCAACAGACAAAATGGAGTCTGGAACAGATCAAAATGTATCATTAAGTCAAAATCCAATTAATTTAACCACAATTACATGGTTGATCGTGTGTAATTCTGACAACAGTTACACCACCATTGTTCTATTGGTTCATAATCTGACCTTGAACTAACAATTATGTAACTGACCTGACTTCCCCAAACCTGGCTGGATATTGGTGTCAGAGAACTTGGATCTCTCTCTATTTCTCTTTCTGCAAAATAGGATTAAAAAATACATTATCATCTTTAATTAAATGTTTTTATGAAATTAATCTTGCCACAGGGAACATGCCATTGAACGTTAATTAAAGACATTTTTGTTTAATATGAAATCTTACTGCAACTTTGTTCGTGAAGAATGCGCAGGAAACAAGCCACTTAATTAGGTACTGATACAGTTTTCATGTAACTTTGTATGATTTGTGCTGATTGAAGCCTTGATGGTTGCTATGCTCCTATGGCAACTGAGCACTCTGATGGTTGTTTTTGAATTTGCCATGGGTTGTTGCCTCACACAATCTAAATTTGTCCTAATTTGAACTGAGCTATGGTGGACATCAGGTTGTTGACTTACACAAGTGTTGGTTTGTTCTGCTCCAGGGTCTGTAGCTGCTCCATCAACATGGTGCCGTGTTGTTTGAGGAGCTGGAGCTCATTGCTGATGTCTCCCACTGTATTCCTGAACCTGTCCTGCATTGCCTCCAGCTTGATAGTCATAGAATATTACAACATCAAACACTGTTTAATTAATATATTGTATCACCAATACAAGTCTGACAAGTCTTTAGGATGTATTGTATGAAACAAAAATGTTTTTATTTTTTTGGTAAATCTTTGCAGTAAATGTTCAAATTTAAAATTGGAAAAGGTTCATTTGAAAAGAAAACTATTAAAGACACTTTAAAAATTAAACAAGATATTTAAACTACAGATATTCTAAAGGGGTACAGATGAGAGCCAACATGTGTATTGAGACACAAACAGTGAGTACCTCTTGGTCAGCCTGCTCAATGTCCATCTCCTGGACCTCAAACTCAGCATTGGTCAGATCGTCACGAATCTCAATCTTCTGTAGCTCTTCTTTATGCTCTTCTAGGAACTTGTCAAACTCTGTAACCACAAAGAATCTGTTCAGGTATATGGGGTGGTAGAATGGCACATTGGATAATGCACTCACCTTTCACCAAGGCAACATTAAGACCCCTCTCCGCTATCATCCGGGCCAACCAGAGTGATTAATATAAGTTTAAATAACCTGTTTCATAATTGTTGTAAATTATGTTTATATTCATTTATTAAAGTATATACATGTATATAGGTATCGAAACAATTTTACGTAGCAGTCAAATAAACACGGGTAACTCAACAGAACATAATGTTACTGCATGCTCTTGCACATACAGCTGGTCTAGACCTTATTGTTGTCTTCACACCTGACCTTAAACTTGAAGCACTCCTCACATTCTATAGCTTAGTTTAATCAGATCAGGGTTATAAACTTGTCACGAAGTTGTTTCACTTTCTCCAGCTGACCTTGACTTTCCCTACATTCCCTTGCCAATGTTTACTTCAGATGTATGGTTACCTGACCTTACTGTCCTACCTAATCTTCAGATGATCTTGATCTCACAGATACAGTGCCTTCTACAGCAGACCTGCATTAACTCATTCACCCCTAAAATTTCATAATGAACTATTCCAACCTTTGAGTTGGAAGAGTTCTAAAGAATCTTCAGGGTTGAATGAATTAACTTTGGAGCTGTACCTTGTGATGATCTTGAAATAGTCTATACTTTCTACAGAAGACCTTAAATATTTTTTTCCTTCCATAACTGACCTTGTACTGACCTTGGACCATTCCCCTTCTATAGCTGACACTGTATATTGACCTTGAAGTAGTCTGTACCTCCTGCAGCTAATCTTAAGATGACCTTGAAACAGCCTGAACCTTCTAGAGATGACCTTGAATTCCCTTCAATAACTGACCTGATATTGACCTTAAACCAGTCTTAAGAGAAGAAACTGCCCTAATCTTCATCAGCTCACATTATTTTGACCTTGAATCAGTGTTCCCTATAACAAATGACCTTGAAGTTGCCCTTAACTTCATCAGCTGACTCTGTTCTAACATCTGTAGATTCCATTAATCCTGGTGTTACATCAGAGACCAGAAATTGCATTCCTTATTTACAGTACATTACAATGACATATATTACAATAATTGTTTATCTATTCTGATCATCTACAGATGTCCTTGACCTTTCAGATGACCTCGACCTAGCAAATGTCCTTACCTTCCACTGCTGTGTTCATCACACTCATGATTTGTTCCTCCAGACGCTGGGCAGCCTCGATGTTTGTCATCAGGTTAGCCTAAAAGGTCAGTAGTGTCTTAGTATAAAAGCCACAAAATATTTATCCTTCAGGACCCAGTTCAGTTTCGGAAGTGAATATCGAAGGGTTATTACTTATCAGACATCAGTAAAGTAACCTTTAATCCCCTTATTGATTAAATTGTAATTCCTTTGTAAACTCACCCTTTTGGTAGATATGACAGGTCTCAGGTTCTTTTTGGGCAAATCGTCTATTTCAGGCTGGTCCAGAAATGCTAAAATATATCAAAATATTTTAACTACATGTGGTTGCTTCCATTAGCTCTCGTCATCCACTTAACAACATCAAGTATTAACTCCCCTTCCATCAGCTCTCGTCATCCACTTACAAACACCAAGCATTAACTCCCCTTAACCATTAATAAAATATATCAAAAAATTTTGATATTTAATATCTTCAATGCTCAACAAATCATGTATCTGACGGCACCGTTGTTTAGCTACCTAATTCCTAAATCAGTTTTCATTGTACACACACCAAGAGTAAGAGTTAGCTCCCATTAACCACTCACCATTGTACATACCCCAAGAGTAAGAGTTAGCTCCCATTAACCACTCACCATTGTACACACACCAAGAGTAAGAGTTAACTCCCATTAACCACTCACCATTGTACAGATCATCATAGCCTTTTTTGTATCGGGACAGGTACTCAATTTCACCGTGGGCCTCCTCCAGAGATTCCTAGAACAATTAACACACAGTCAGCATTGTATATTTATTAACCATGGCAGTAAGTATATTAATTCAAAAACAGGAGAGACATATTCAATAAGTTCAGGAACTTTCCTACAGCATTTCAATTATTGTACTCTATCCAACTATATATGTACAATCCCAAACAATATATCACATCACATTCTGCATTGTTCTCAACAAGAGGCCCAATGAGCCTGCATCACTCATCTGGTATTGATCTCACAATTGTAACCTTAAAAGTTGATAAAAATAAAGCTACAGGCAAAATATCAGTGTCTTTGTTAAAAGATTTAAACACATTTGACCCCTGTGACCTTGAAAGTCAAACAAGGACATTAAGTTGAACAAGTTTTATAGCCCTTCATCCCAGATTGCAACTTGCCAAATACAACCACGTGCACCCTGTACCTTTTGTTAATTGTGAAGATGGCTATTAAACATTTAGACACAAATGACAAGATGTGACCTTGTAAGTGTGTCAAGGTTATTCACATGGGCATTTGTCAGCTCTTCATCTGAGCATGCTACTGGTGACATATCACCATCCTTTGCATTTTTGTTATTTAGAAGAAGTCATTTAAAGTCATTCATTTTAACAAATTTGGTAGCCCTTCCTCACAGCATGCTATATTGACCAAATATCATCACTCTGGACATTTTGGTTATTCAGAAGAATTCATTTAAAGATTTCAATATTTTTTACCCCTGTGACCTTGAATATGGGTGAAGGTCATTTATTGGAACAAACTAGGTAGCCCTTCATGCCAGCATACTACTGGCCAAATAACATCACCCTGGACCTTTTGGTTATTCAGAAGAACTTTCGTTTAAAGATTTCAACATATTTGACCACTGTGACCTTGATTACAGTCAAGGTAATTCATTTGACAAACTTGATAGCCCTTCATCACAGCATGCTACTGACAAAATATCGATCGTCACCCTGGACATTTTTGTTATTCAGAAGAAGAACAAATGGGCCTAAATATAGTATGGTTTAAGCTATGACTTTTTCTCTTAAAAATTGTCTGTTTGTATGGAAATTAATTCCTACCTGAAATGTATAAAGTAGCTATAATAAAGGCTATCAATAATACTCTATACAGGACATAATATTAATGTACTTTTAAATCATTCAAAAGTGGACAGACACCTCTCTCGATTGTACGTCAAGTTCAATATCATTTTGACTCGATAACGGTATCTGTAATAAGCTGGGGGATTTGATTGCTCTACAGGGTCGGTAAATTGTAGAGGAACCATTACAAGTCTTTGATCATTAGCTGTATTGTGTTTAGATAGGCCCCTTAACCCACAGTAATTAAAGGTCGACCCTCTACAGCATAAACTAATTCATCTATTTCTCAGATCTCCAAGTCAATGGAACAACAGTTTGTTGATATTGTGATGTAATATTGACACAAAATGGCGTAATTAGGTTTCACGAGAGTCGTATCGTGACGGCATGTCAATCATTAGCTCATGTGACGTGCACTGTAACAGTAAGGGTGCACTACATCATCCCGACCTAGCGGATGACAGGGTTTATCAGATCAAATTCTCCTCATATTTCATGTTTCTATATTAAATCAAATTCCACCATTCAGAGTATCTCATTATAGCCCTATCAAATGTTTCTATGGCTCTTATTTCTCACAAGCTTTTCATTCTATTTTTGGTAAAAGGTTAAAAACATTGGCTTTCCACTAACCATTGTGTATTTATACTCTACAAGCAGTGGAAATGATAAAGAAGAGCATCGATAATTAAGTCACTTTTACGACCGCTTTTGCAATGTTATTGCTCTGCTGTCTTTATGCAGGAATATAAACAAGACACTTGCTGTGGTGTTAAACCTATAGGCCTGTTAATAAAAATAATAATAATTTGAGGTTCTTATATACTGGTTGATCACAACCTAGTTCATAAGTCGTCTCAAAGCGGTTCACAAATTATATCCGTGGTTATAGGGCCTTTGCAACCAGCCAATATCTTTCTCAATTCCCCGGGGAGCATACAGCCAGTGCTGCCATTTCGGCGCTTGCAGCTAGCATTTCTACAATTCTAGCACTGCCCAACAATGTACTTATTTACAGCTGAGTAGACTGGAACAAGCTGAGAAAAGTATCTTGCTCAAAGATACAACATTGTGAGTGCTGTGCCATTACTCGAACGTGCAACCCTTCGGTCACAAGCCTGGCGTCCTTCCACTAGACTACCGTGCCTCCCTGTTGTGACCGACCCAATGTATTCTTTGACCTTAACGTTGTAAACGACGGTTCATAATTCGTCCCAATACTATATGAATCACTCAATTTTCACAAATTACAGATTTTCAAAGTCATGTTTATCAGGTCCTTTCACAAGGTTTTCATTCGCAAAATGATCAATTACATAATCTTACGGTTTTAATTAAATTCGTGTATTGATGTAATATTTAATGTCCATTAAATACCTTATGAAAAACATTTAGCATTTTATGTTTATGAGAAACATGCATCAACACCTTACAATAACAAACAAGGCAAAGTACTCATAGCTGTGTGGCCTACCCCCAGACAAAATTTAGTATCAGAAATACACGTAAACAATGGGCTGTAACTCTGTATATAGTGGAATATGAAACCTCATAGGTATCAACCTCTGAAACCTCCAATGAGGGAGAAAGTGCATGAAACGTGACTGAAACTGCTTTGCTCAATTTATCTTTTCCTATTTTATGTATCAAAATAACTCCAAAAAGCATTCATTTGATTCAGACACACCTATTATGGTCATTACACAGTACACCCTGCAGTAACTAGGAGATCATTTGACCACAGGATGTAGATTTTAGGTTTGTGTGAGTTTTGACTTGAATGAGGGCCCCAGAGTTTCCAGGGAGATTGGTAAATTTTGGTCAAAATGGGGGAGTCTCCCTCCTAATTATGAGGAGCCTCAGGGTTGACTGATGAGCTATGCAGACCTGATTTCAATTAATGCAACCAGTGCGATTCTAAGAGAAATTCTGATGTACAATAGGCAATATAGCTTGTACAAATGTAGGTGACATAGTAGATAAGATACATATACTGTATAATACTGGTAAAGTAAATAATTAGTAGTGTGAAGCCCATGGTTACATTTACCCTTTCCTGGTGATGCATTAATGCATCACCGGGTCTGGGTCGAATGATGCATTAATGCATCACCGGGTCTGGGCCGAATGATGCATTAATTCATCACCGGGTCTAGGCCGAATGATGCATTAATTTATCACCGGGTCTAGGCCGAATGATGCATTAATGCATCACCGGGCCTGGGTCGAATGATGCATTAATGCATCACGGGGTCTGGGCCGAATGATGCATTAATTCATCATCGGGTCTGGGCCGAATGGTGCATTAATGCATCACCGGGTCTGGTCCGAATGATGCATTAATTTATCACCGGGTCTGGTCTAAATGATGCATTAATGCATCACCGGGGCTGGGTCGAATGATGCATTAATGCATCACGGGGTCTGGGCCGAATGATGCATTAAGGCATCACCGGGTCTGGGCCAAATGCATTAACGCATCACCAGGGCTGGGCCGAATGAATTAACGCATCACCAGGTCTGGGCCGAAGGCATTAACGCATCACCAGGTCTGGGTCGAATGCATTAACGCATCACCAGGTCTGGGCCGAATGCATTACCCGGTCTGGGCCAAATGATGCATGAATGCATCACGGAAGTGGAAATATTTTGAAACAATTTTGAGTTGATAAAATACGCAAATAAAATGATTTGTTTGTAATTATATGTGCCTGTAATCATGAATGGACATTAAATCATTAATTTCAAACAGATATTTGACTATAAAAGCACATTGACGTCCAGGTATTTGCATGAATTTCTGCTCACAAGAACTTCTGGTCGGACGGGAGCAAGTGAAAGCAATAATTTTCATAAAGAAAACATTTTGTAATACTGGTTACAGAGCTTTCTAATGTTTAAAATACATTGTTGTTCAGATAAACGAAGGTATTGGATTTTGAAAAGAATTTTAAAATCAGTATGTAATAAAATTATTGTGCGAAACACTAGTGCATTACGTCACAGACACTGGAGAAATAACATTGAACAGTGCCCTTTTACATGTCAGTATTTATAACTGAGTTTTTGTTATCCATCGAAATATAGTTCTCAAATTATGAATATGAATTGATATGCATATTTTGGTGGTTTTTTGTTGCAATTGTTGAAACTTTATTAACTTGAAACGTCAGTCAATATATATATATAGAAATTCTGGTTATACTCATACCAGCACCAGACAGATATATAGAAATTCTGGTACTCATACTAGCACCAGACAAATATATAGAAATTCTCGTACTCATACCAGTACCAGACAGGTATATACAAATTCTCCTCCTCATACCAGCACCAGACAGATATATAGAAATTCTGGTACTCATACCAGCACCAGACAGATCTATAGAAATTCTCGTACTCATACCAGCACCAGACAGGTATATAGAAATTCTCGTACTCATACCAGTACCAGACAGGTATATACAAATTCTCCTCCTCATACCAGCACCAGACAGATATATAGATATTCTCGTACTCATACCAGCACCAGACAAATATATAGAAATTCTCGTACTCATACCAGCACCAGACAGATATATATACACCCAAAACAAAAAACGCTACCACCAAACTCACACCAACACACAATTAATACCCACAAACAAAATCACAACCTAGAAATTCTCGTACTCATACCAGCACCAGGAAGATATATAGAAATTCTCGTACTCATACCAGCACCAGACAGATATATAGAAATTCTCGTACTCATACCAGTACCAGACAGGTATATAGAAATTCTCGTACTCATACCAGCACCAGACAGATATATAGAAATGCTTATACTCATACCAGCACCAGACAGATATATAGAAATTCTCGTACTCATACCAGCACTAGGAAGATATATAGAAATTCTGGACCTCTAAAATGTACAGCATTAGTAGTTTGGAAGAGGGATTAGTTTGCACTACATTGCTGTGACAAAAACTCCAGAGCTCTAAGCTGTCATCTGTTCTAAAATAAAAAAAGGTTTTGATTCAGAGCTAATCTCGATCATCATTTTTTTTTTTTTTAATTTATTTAAAACACATCTGAGAAGAGTAAAATTAATACCCTGAGATGTTCAACCTGTCAGGATTGCACACAGAATGCAGCTGATCATTTTTGTTTTAATTCAATAGGAAAGTGATAAAATTCCTGTCAAAAGAGACTGCAACACCATCCCTAAATTTGAAGAAACTAAGATGTCAAGATTATCAACAATATGTCCCAGAAAGAGAGGTTCAAGAACCTAGCTTTCATGATTAATTTACCTATTTTTGGAATTCCCTATGAAGACATGAAATGTTCAGGAGAGTAAAAAGTCTGAGTCTGTTAGGAAAATAAAATAACTGGAGGGGCAGTTGGAGGATCAGGGATAGGAGAGGTAATTGAAGGCAATGTTGATGGGCAGATGTGATCTCCAGGGATACATGTAGCTGAAGCCTGATGACACCTGATGATACCTTACGGGCACCTAATCTCTCACATCATAGCTGGTTTATGTACAGATCAAAGAGTCTTTAACTGGGTCTCCTGGGTCTGTGGCGAACTTTCATCGGCAGGTCTATAGTCGACTGCTATCTATAAGTCACCCTTACACAAAACCCCCTCACATACACTGACCATTATTATACAAAGGTTTTATCTCTGAGCATCTATGAAGCTACTTATCTGACAAATACACCCTGGTATCAAGACTATTTATTATAATAGGAAAAAAAATAACAAAACAGATGTGATGGTACATGTGTATTTGAGGTTTCAATATCTTTATCTATAATGGAGTCTATAACCCCGTGTCACAGGCAGAAACTTTTATCAGATGGATTAACTATCAGGAAATTATGTACAGAAATCAGCTCTGCCATTTAGTTTAAGGCATTATAAGTATATATATGAACCATATCCCTAAATAGTAATCATTATCAGCTAAAACTGATACATTGACAAGGTTATTTTATTTCCTTCAGCATGTTGTGTGTGTATATATTATCTATCATCTACGAATCCTTAGTTTGTATTTAGAGTTTGAAGCTTGTATTTTCCCCTGCAGGAAATTCAAAGATCTCCTAATTCAAGTAAAAAATGTGAATGACTCTGTCATTAGTACTGAAGAAATAAAAAATCAAACCCCCATTTTTTCTATAATCATGCTCAGAGTTAGTGAGTTATCAAATGTGATGCCTTAAACAACAAACTAGACAAAGTATTAATTGTCAGAAATCTATTTAATAAATTTCCCACCAGACAAACTTCAGTATTAAAAATGAAGGATGGGAATGATATATAATTTGTATATAGTGGGAAATAGTACAACATTTCAGTAGGCAAAACTCCACCATCAAACACGTGGTACTACCATACAAAATGTGATAATTATTGTAGTTGACAGAGTATATTATATGGGATTTACCTTGACAAGGAGCTAACAAAGGGGGATAACTCTATATATAGTGGGATGAGAAACCCAATGAAATGACATCTGCCGTTCTAAAAGATACACACAAAGTCACATACACAATTTGGTAATTATAGGTGACTGTGATTGAATCAGTATTAAGGAGATATGCCCAGCATTTCAGCGATTCACAGGGATGGACTGACTCAATGATATATTGAAAAAAATACTAGAAAAATCAACAAAATAGATCATGATCTAAACTTCCATTCAAGTTTAACCAATCAATTAAATCAAGCCATGAATATGTTCATTCAGAAATATCTTGACAGTTTTTGAAACCATTTCAAAATCGTAAAATTGAAATGTTTCTTAAAATTGGTTTGGTTTGGTTTAGTATTGTTTAACGTCCTATCAACAGCTATGGTCATTTAAGGACGGCCTCCAATGTGTGCAAGATGCATGCGTGTAGTGTATGTGTGTGTGTTTTGGGAGGCTGCGATATGTTCGTGTTTGTCTCCTTGTGATAGCGCGGAACTGATGGCGACTTTATAGTGCTAACTTGCTGAAACATACTGCCGGAGACTGTAAGTGAGTGACCCAGCAGGACACCCCATCCGGTCATATTATACTGACAACGGGCGAATCAGTCGTCCCACTCCTAAATTGCTGAGTGTTAAGTTGGAGTAGAAACTACCATTTTTACAGACTCTGGTATGTCTCGGCCAGGGAACAGAACACAAAGCCTTCCTCACAGGGGCAAACGCTCAACTAAAGGCCAAAAGTGAGGCATAATCAAGGGAGACATTAGGAAGAAGAAAGTTGTTTAGAAAGAAGAGAAGAGGTAATATTCCAAATTTAGTCTTCTCTTATGAACATGCAATCGGGGGGCAGCAGGTACAATTCTTACATCCTACCTGTGTAACTATTACGGATCTCCTATCATCATCTAACACAGCAAACAATTAACACAAGCAATCAGAACGAGCCTTCTGAAGCCTTAGACAAATTTAATTTGCTTGGAACATTGGTAATTAGAATTTATTGTGAATGAAATGTAAAATATAGTGTCATCTTTAATAAATATTTTTTTTAGATCAAACTGATGAATCTTATACTAAATTGAAATGTTCCTGTCAGTGTTCAGATTGAACAGTTCAGTATTATATGGAGCCACATAAAAAATGGTGAAACATTCTAGCTACAGTAAATACCATCCATTTTTATGCTGCTTTTCTTCAGGAATTTTTCCTATTTTTTTAATATAGATGATGGAAATACAGATCTACAAAAAATAGAAAGAGTATTCCTAAAAGCTGTTTTGAACATTTTAATCCTGTTATAGCAATCCCTTAAGGATGTACACCTCTGAGAAGTCAAAAAATTCCTGTATTAAACTTTTTTTCTTATATTGATTTTATGAAAAAGGAGATAATGACATAGTAGAAAATGCAAAAAAAAATAAATGTCGGTGTGTTCGTTTTTGTGGTATGATCGGTCAAAGATACCAATTTACCACAACATGTGATTTTAGGTGAATTTTCGGGTTTTGACCATTTGCAAAACAAATTCATACAATTTCTTCCAAGTGTGTTATCAGATACATATGAATGTTTGTAGAATTGATAAAAATATTATTTTCTTTGAAACTTTGGAAGTAAAATGTCTTAAACTTATTCATTTTACTCAGAAATGCGATTTTAGTTACCCCTACCCCTTATTTTTTAATGAAAAAATGCACATTTTTCACCATTTTTGGCCAATTAAACGCTTGATATAAAAAAAATCCTGTTATAAACTTTTTTTAATATTCACTGAATCAAAAGAAAATGTGTTTCTCTTTCTAAAACAGCCACAAAAATGGGGGGTCGGTGTGCTTCTTTTTTTGTCCCATTATTATTTGTGTTATTTTTCACCTTTTTCGGGGTCAAAAATCAAAAGTGCTTCAGTTACCCTAAGATGTAAAAAAAAATATCAATAATATATAACTTTCCACTTTTTTGCATATTATTTTAATCATATTGAACATTATAAAGTTGTACAGCAAAATTGAACTGTTACAATTAAAAATGGTGACACAATGACAATTTAAGTGATCAATCTAGTGTCAAAAAAGGTGAATTTTGGCCCTTTGTGAAGCACAAGAAATTCACATAAATATACTTTTTCAAAATGGCCACCAAATTGGTCATTTTTTTAAAATTCTTGTAAAAAATGTTCTACACACAACAGACATCTGTTTTTTTTTACATGTTTTTCAGATGTGTGTTTGCTATTATACCTATCATAATTTGTTAAATATTACAAAAACCCATTACACCAGATCAAAACGAGACTTGAACGTGATTGAAACCTCAGAAGAGTACATCCTTAAGGTGGTTTAAAAACAATTCTGACATACATTGTATAATTTGGTTTTTGCCATACATGAAAAAAGCTCAATGTCAGATGATGTTCAGAGAACAATGTTTAACGCCTGGAGCCAGTCTGTGACCTCATAATAGAACACGAGGGTGAACATTTGGTGTCATTACGACCTTGAAAAACACATGGTGGCTATGAGATATGACATGATCATATTATAAGAAAAAGAGAAATCAGGAAAGTGCAGGATTATCCCACTTTTTGTCGGTTTAGAGGACAGGGAAATTACAATCATCCATAATCATGGATCACCTGTTTTATTAGAGAGACATTCTGTAACGAAATATTAAGGTCCTTTTATCACGAGACAGGAGACCCCACCTGTCAAAACAGACCACAGACTGTCTATCACATAAACTACCTCTTATGAGAGACCACCTGTCACAAAAACTACCTCTTATGAGAGGCCATCAGTCAAAAAAACTGCCTCTTTTGAGAGGCCATCTGTCACAAAAACTACCTCTTATGAGAGACCACCTGTCACAAAAACTACCTCTTATGAGAGGCCATCAGTCACAAAAACTACCTTTTATGAGAGGCCATCTGTCACAAAAACTACCTCTTATGAGAGGCCATCAGTCACATAAACTACCTTTATGAGAGGCCATCTGTCACAAAAACTACCTCTTATGAGAGGCCATCAGTCACATAAACTACCTTTATGAGAGGCCATCTGTCACAAAAACTACCTCTTATGAGAGGCCATCAGTCACATAAACTACCTTTATGAGAGGCCATCTGTCACAAAAACTACCTCTTATGAGAGGCCATCAGTCACATAAACTACCTTTATGAGAGGCCATCTGTCACAAAAACTACCTCTTATGATAGACCCTCAGTCAAAAAACTACCTCTTATAAGAGGCCACACAAAAACTACCTCTTATCAAAAAACCTCTCTTGAAATACTACCTGTTAAAAAGACACTTTGTCTTTGACATCACACTTGTACAAAGACAATCTCCCTTGAAATACCACCAGCTATAAAAGTATGCCTTCTGCAAAGAACAATTGTCATATAGATAATCAGCTGTCAGGGGAGACAACTTACCCGGAGATCGTCTACATCACCATCCAACCGTGCCTGTGTCTGCTCACCCTTTTCTTGTTCCTCAGCTAGCTCCTCCTCCAGTCTGTAAATCAGACAAATATAAAAGATAGTACTTGGCTTCTTACAATGTACATAAACCTGTAGGTTAAGTAACATGAATCATTTCACCAGGAGAAATGGTTCCCAGTGCAACAAAGTTAACAACATTTCTCTGAAACAAAATTGATCCAGTGTTATAGCATATCTTATAAGACATATTCAAATTCTATTGATCCATTTCTTCAATTACAAGTCCATTTGGGAAATCAACATACTTGATTTAAGTATAAGGCTGATGTGTCTATCAAATCCATCCTGTCAGTGATGCCATTCTTTGTAACCGAAAAGCAAATTATCTCACAACTAACTAGGAATAATGTAAACTCTGCTATTCTGCTTAACATTGTAAAGAGAAAGTACATGTTGCACCTAAGTACGAAGGCTGCCCTACCTGACAATATCGGAGGTTTTATCTGTGAGCATGCTATCTACCATGACAAGTCTTTGGTTCATTTCTTCAATGCGCTCCTCTAGCATGGCTCCTTTCTGTTGACTGTCCTCCAGCTGCTTGTGTTTCTCAAATAATCTGGAAATACACAGATCAATGTTTGGTATCAATCACATCATTTAGTCATAGTTACTGTACCTCAGGGCTACAGTCACCATACATCTCCTGTAATACACAGGTACCTAGCTACAGTCACCATACATCTCCTGTAATACACAGGTACCTAGCTAGTCACCATACATCTCCTGTAATACACAGGTACCTAGCTACAGTCACCATACATCTCCTGTAATACACACTGGTACCTAGCTACAGTCACCATACATCTCCTGTAATACACAGGTACCTGGCTACAGTCACCATACATCTCCTGTAGTACACAGGTACCTGGCTACACTGACCATACATCTCATTAATACATAGGAATCTGGCTACAGTAACCATACATCTCCTGTAATACACAGGTACCTTGCTTATACAATCACCATACACATACTGTATTACACATGTACCTGGCTACAGTGAATATACATTTCCTGTTATACACAGGTACCAGGCTACAGTGAACATACATCTCCTGTAATACACAGGTACCATGCTTCAGTGACCATACATCTCCTATAATACACAGATACCTGGCTACAATCACCATACATCTCCTGTAATACACAGGTACCTGGCTTCAGTCACCATACATCTCCTGTAATACACAGGTACCATGCATCAGTGAATATACATCTCCTGTAATACACATGTACCTGGCTACAGTGAATATACATCTCCTGTAATACACAGGTACCTGGCTACAGTCACCATACATCTCTTGTAATACACAGGTACCTGGCTACAGTGAATATACCTCTCCTGTAATACACAGTTACCTGGCTACAGCGACCATACATCTCCTGTAATACACAGGTACCTAGCTACAGTCACCATACATCTCCTGTAATACACAGGTACCTAGCTAGTCACCATACATCTCCTGTAATACACAGGTACCTAGCTACAGTCACCGTACATCTCTCGTAATACACAGGTACCTGGCTACAGTGAATATACATCTCCTGTAATACACAGGTACCTGGCTACAGCGACCATACATCTCCTGTTATACACAGGAACCATGCTTGAGTGATCATACATATTCTGTAATACAAAGCCTACATATTATTTTACACTTATTTGAGCTTATAATGCTTAGAATTTTCATTAAAAAGTACATTTTCTATGAGATTAAAACATTCACTATAGATGCTAACAGAAAGACAACAAATTCAATGAACATATGTGCACTTAGCACTTCATATTGAATTTGTTGTCATGATTCATTTGGCATTCACATTGGCTATGAATGACAACTGAAAGCTATGCAATGCTTCATGTATAACCTGTTATATACTACCTGTTATACACAGGTACCTGTCTACAGTACTTATTCTTTTGTTAATGACAGCCTAGTCATAGTGTTGGGCTAACCGAGGTGTATTTCAGGAGATTGTAACGCATGTAAAAAAAATCAAAAATAGTTTCTCTTTTTAACATTTCAAATTACAGAAATGGTATGTATATATACGTAACATGTTTTAAACGATAGACATTTTCATTTAAAACAAACAAGTTAAATTCACAGCAGCAGAGAAAGTTGATCTTCAAGTTATAAACTACTCTCCATATACACTGTATGTTTCACTTCCACAAGTTATTAACAGTGTCTGATGAATAGGACCCAAACTTTAACTGTAATTATCTCAGACAATCCAACGCCAATCCATGGTGATCATCATTCAGAAATGTTGATTCTATTCTTAAAACCTAAAAGATCATCACATTCCAATCACTTTCATTACAATCTGCCCAATAGAAAAAAATTGTGCAATATGTCTGAGCCACTCATGAGGCCAGAAAGCTTGTTTTATGTCCGATTGTATATCGGAAATGAAGAAACACCAAAAAAGCAATCCCTAGAAACTCTGTATTAGGGCCTTAATTAACTTTGTCTAGTTACAGACACAACCGATATTTATAAAACATCTATGGAAATATTATTGAAAAAGACATGATTCGTATTTGATAATATGAAACAGACAATTATTGCCACTTTTCATCAGAAGACTCGGACCTACAGCAGACAGAATGAGCTGTCTGGCAGCCTGCCAACAAAGCTCTCTCCCATTGCTATAACTAATACCTGTCCTCCACCATCCTGTCTGGAGAGTAAAGGCAGAGGACAGTTGTCACACAGAGGCAAATGATGAATGGATGAACTGAGTGTATAAGTTAAATGATTGTTTTGGACATTTGCCAGTTACAGAAATTCATTACCATTTTCCTGGTCACTTTTGAATACACATTTTGTATGGTTTTTTTATGTTGTGACATATATACAGAGTATGTCTTGTCCAGAATTTTCTTCACATAATAGTTCATACTTCTTCACAAATCCTACACTTAATATATTTTGCTAACTATAATTGTTTTTATTTTATTTTTATGGTTATGGATGATAACTGTCGTCTGGTGATTTCGTGGTAAATACCACATGCCATATACCTTTTAACTGGTGAATCTAAAGATATGTTCTGTCTCTAAGATATCAGGCATCTGCATTAAGTGCATACACAGCACCAAGCTATTGTACACTATTACAGGTTAGTGATGGTGGAACAAGCCTGTTTAATTCACATAAACAATGTATAAGAAATCTATGGTGTGGCACCAAGAAATTCTCCTTCAGCTCTGACCTATGCCTCTTCGTCTTAACATCTACAAAGTCTGGTATTATGCATCCACAACTTAAACAACATGGTGGAGTCAGGATTTATTATAATTCTCTTTACCAGCATTTCACTGGTGCTACCCTCAACATTTACCATATTTAAAAATATTTTTATTGTTTGGAAGGTCATCTGAGTTTTAAAGTACCTGGGTATGTAAAAAATATTGGAAATTAAAATGGATGCAATAACAAAACCATTTTAAATTGAAATCAAAGTCATGTTTCACACCCAGATAATTCTGCCTCAAAATAATGTGCATCCATAAAAGCTTTAAACAAAGTGAACACTTACATAACATAAAATGTCCATCTGTCTACTTTGTGGTAAGTACATGTTTAGTTGTTTACATCACTCTTCGTGGTATGTTACAGACTCTTAATCTATAGAATTGAAGACAGTGCTCCCTGTAATACCTACACAGACGCTGTTTAAGGAGAAATGAGGATACTTTACCTTTGTTTGACAATATCTAACTGTTCGGTGACAACGTCTAGTTTGTCATCATGTTCGTCATGGATACGTCTGACTTGAGTGTAGTACGGAATCTGGGCAATACTGCCATCTTTATGTGCCGTCAGGTTTTCACTGTAAACTGATGCTGAACACAGAAATACAAAATATATACTAATCAGAAATATTAAAATTTACTTATCAGAAATATAAATATGCTAATCATAAACATAAATTTACTAATCAAATATAAATTTACTGATCAGAAATATAAATTGACTAATCAGAAATACAGATTTACTAATCAGAAATATAAATTGACAAATCAGAAATACAGATTTACTAATCAGAAATATAAAATTAATCAGAAATATAGATTTACCAGGTACTAATCAGAAATACAGATTTACTAATCAGAAATATAAAATTGATCAGAAATATAGATTTACCAGGTACTAATCAAAAATATAGATTGACTACGGTAATCAGAAATATAAAAATACTTAACAGAAATAAAAATATACTAATAACTTGCATCCTAAATTCCTAGATGGTGAAAATAATATTGCTATCCACACAGTTGCCAATATTTTGTTATATATGTTTAATTTTGATAGTAATCTGCATGTTACAATGATTAACCATATTTCAAAAGATTTAATCAACAGTTTATTGTATAGATATTAAAACCATCATGACCCTACTTTTTATGTCATCATGTATGTTGTAAATATCCCTTGACCTTTCATTTGAAATCACTTTTTACTGAACTGATCTTAATTTAGGTAGAAATGTCTCAGGTTCTAATCCTTAACTATATCATAATAAATGTTTTTGAAATAGCGTCTTCAGCATAAGTGTTATATCAGTGCTTATAGCTTTATAATATGTTCATATCTATAAATGAATCGATGACTTTAAAACTGTACAATAAGTCAATGGCCACACATAAGTGCAGTCCAAACATTGCAGAACACATAATTTTATATATAATAATGACAGTGCCTTGTTTAACCAGTACATAAACAAGTTACTTTAGGATATAGTCATACCATAAAGGTCGTCCCTGACCTTGGCAAAGATACGTGTGTAGACACCAAGCTTAGGAATGAGGTCATCGAGGACCTGGAAGGACAGTCTGGTTCTCTCCTCATCAGGGCCATTGTCTTTTGCCTGGTTCTCAAGGCACATTAACTCATATTTGTTCACTACAACCAGTCATAAAGAAAATTTGATGGCTTGCATCATACATGATATAATTTGCTACATCAAAGGTTTCATTATTGTTCTGATTTAGACTATTTCTGGGTGCCATAGTTTCCCCAATTAAGAATAAAAATCTTTGATTTACATCTTTATGTTAATGTTTCCTCTGCTTACTTTCAAATGATTTTTTCAATATCATTCTTAATTACTTACAGTCTCTCTTAATTAGTCTTACTTTGCTTACCATGTCTTTTCTTAATTACATGTAGTTGTAATGACACTGACTGAAATATGTCAATCCTGCCAGTGTCTTATAGATTTAATCATTTTGCATCGTTTTATACATCTCTTCTTATATAACTGCTCACTGATAATATTTTTTTTAAATCTAGACAAAGATGTATCACTTTTTGCCAATCATACACCTCCACATTGGAATCTTATTATTACAACACAAACTCCAGCAGCTGCAACTCAAATTTTGTTTTTTGTAATTAACATCCCACAGTATCCTTGAGGCATTACTGATGAGGATTGATGGGTATACTCAATCTGGTGTTTTAATTAAATAACTTTGTAACAAGTTACATTTATATCTTAGGTTGTAAGCTTCAAATACTTGCGAGTATAGGCAAACTCTGCTTTCAGCTTGACAGCAGTAATTTATCATTGTCACAATGTATATTCTGGAGTTATATATCACATGAGAAAAAAAACCGAAAAAAACCCTGTTACTTTCTAAAAATTTGCAAAGGAATTTCAGTAATTAAAATGATAAATCCTATCTGATGCAAATGTGAAGTTATAACTGAATAGAAACATAAAATATAGTAACTAATATATAATGACTCGTCAGTTTAGTAATTTGACAAGCAATAGATCTAGACAACATGAAATGATGTAATCTTAAACTGTCACCACACCGATATAACAACACATGTTACAAGAGTTGAAGGGTTAAGATTGCTGTTGGTTATATGACAAGACATATGTTTTTCACAAAAAAAATGGAATCTGTCTTGAAACATTAAATGAAAATGTAAAGGTCAGACAAAAATATTGCTGCCTTTCTCCAGGATTTTGCTTCAAAGACAATTACTAATTAAATAATTAGGGCATCTACTATGTAAATAGCTAGGCCAGGAAAACATATAGTTTCCTAATTTATGTTTTTATGGATCATTTTATTTCATGTAGATGTAGATGATTGGAACATGTGTGAAATACCTTGCCTTAAGCTAACATACAATCCCTGTGAAAACTAACTTATAACTAAACTTAAAATACAGCATTTTTATTATGAGAAATTGGAGGAAAGAAACAAATTCTGAATAAAATTCAGATTTAGAATCAGACGTAAAAATGGATCAGTCTGAAAATGAAACACTTTGATTTGTCTGACCATATATACTTAAGTTAGATGTATTACATTATCAGTATTCATCAATGAGCTTACAGAAAAACACACAGAGGATTTGTTTTATACATGTACATGTAATTTACCTACTGAGAGTGGGCGAATTGGGGAAATCATAATGCGATTTTTGGCAGCACCAGCCCTTCTACCATTCTTAACATGTTTTGGAATGGGTAAAACAAAAATGTTTGATCTTTTTAAAGATAGGGGATTGGGCTAGGTGAAAAGGGGATTCGACATAATTAAATATAACATGACATGAAAACAGCAACAATTTTGAAGACAATGGATATTAACCCATTAAACATCTTTACATGAGCTCAGTTCCCTACATCTTCCTTCTCAAAAACAGCTCTACTAACAATAAGAAACAACTAACAACATCAATTGGAATCCTGGTATCAACTTATAAATTCAAGGCACAAAAGGGATGGCCATGACATCTATTGTAAATACAAATGGGTCAAAACGGCATTCATTTAAATTCAAGAACTGCAGACCCTTACCAACCACAGGTATTGGTTTTCAATTGAAATATAAGACAGGAAAAGAAATTGTGGCAGTGCATCTATATGCACCCTTTCTTATACTTTTCACTATTGTATCATTATAAGGAAGGAACTTCGGAAGACAAAAAAAAAAATCCATCATTCACTGGGACTCAAACCCTGCATTCCCAGACTTTCCAGGCTCTTTGACTCCCACGCCAAGGGTTCTCCTACCTTGAACAGGGAGGGCCAATGGCACCAGTTTGTAATATGACGAGGAATAGTGATAAAGATAGTGCCGTCGCTGGGGCTCGAACTGCGACCCTTGGCTCTCCAGCCCGATGCTCTACCGCTGAGCTAAAGGAAAATTCCCTACAGCTGACGCATGTAAGAAAACCTAATTAATCCACATCTTTTACAAATCCCTGTATACCGATTGAGAATGTGGTAATCCAATTCATATCTGCTAAACAAGTTTTCAAATAGCATTGCTATAACATCATGTATAGTACTTTGAGAATCTAGATTCTGAAATTAAGATTAAATCTGAAATATTTTTGTAAACATACATGTATAACTTCCTGCACAAAATGTAAAAAAAAAAAAAAGTAAATCATTGATATATATCTGGTTATATATCATTTTTTTGCATACATGATATTATCGTACAAAATATAATGATATGTGCATGTACCGTACACTGTAACATGCAAATCACAATCACGTCGACATGATCACTGATTATCTAAATATAAGCGGGCACCTGGCAGGTGAGCTGCCACCTGATAACATAATATTATTTAACAGTTTACGGTATGTTCTCATTACTATCGCTTAACGATTGGTCATTACCCGAAGAAAATCCTTTCTTTTCGAGAACTCGAGTTAATTGCTTTGAAACATCCATTCTGGCGGCAAAATATACTTTTTTCACAGACAATCCATCACAGACGTTACTAAGCAAGCCAAAACTAATTGATCTAGGTAAGGTAAATGCTTGCTTATAAGCGTTTTGTTAACCTAGGGAAAATATAAAGTAAAGGCCAAATACCGATACATAATATCCGGAATACTTTTTGACAACGAACAATTTTCAAATCACTGCGTATATTTCCTAAAATGCTATTTTGAATGTTATAACTATATGAACAATGCTCAGAAGTTAACAAACATTGTAGAATATATTTAAAAGGACTACATTTTTTTTATCAGTATAGGACCATATCAGAGACGTAAATGTATATAGTAGTATAATAATACAAAGATATGTACACGTCTCTTGCCATATCAGACTTATGACTGTATTCTGTAGTTGTCACGTTTATCAACGGTTTTGATTTTTAGGAGGGGATCAAGATTAATTCGTTTCTTTTCTTGGCCTTTTCAAAAGCTTGAAAACAAATCTTAATTAATTTCCTTATTTTCAAATTCAAACCAGATACCGTTAGATATACCTATAACATATGTCAAAATATAAGTATGTTTTGAAAGTTTATCACAATGTAAATAAAATACATAAGTCGGAAAAATTTGATACTCTGAATGTCAACAGATACCCTACTAATATTTTCTTTCATTGTGAGATTTGTCTCCCTTGTCAAGACATCATTATCTTCTCCTCTCTTTTATTATTTAGACTCATTGTTTCACGTGATTCAAATTATTTGTAAGATATTTGCAAGACCAAAGAACAATGCTCTTAAAGCTACCTGTATTTTTTTTCTAAATCACCCATATTCACGTATAAAATAGATCTAGATCACATTTGTCTAAGTTTATAAAGATAGGTTTATAACACGAAAGAAGAAGAAAAGCATATAACAATATTCATGTAGTCATGGAAGTTGTACATGCGGAGAAACGAAAAATCATGTGATTTTCTCATTTCTTCTTATTCCACAGATCTGTGAAATGCTTGATTTCGGATTAAATTAGCAATACATCTACAACAGTATAAATGTATTTGTTTACATTATTTGTTCACATCATGCTTTACACTGATGGATATATTAAGAGGTTTATTTTGTATATTAATTGAACATAAATATGATTTATATAAGTGATCATTAAGTATGTAACATTATGCTTTACATTGATGGATAAATTAACATGTTAAAGTTGCCGATTTTATTCCGTTTTAGAATTACTATTTATATTCTCATATTTATAGATGGATTTGGACCTGTATTGGCCCACTGGGTATCTGAAGTACTTAGTTTATAACACTTATAACCGCTGATAACAAAATAAAACAAGCTTATTCTAAATTTATTAGTATACTGGCCGGTTTTTTTTATAAAAAAAAATAATTGGGGGGGGGGGGGGGGGGCCCGCCCGGGTGGCAAATGGTTAAGTCAGTCGTCTGATATTTTGCTACCACTAGCCCTCCACCACTAGGTCGCGGGTTCGAGGCCTACATGGGGACCGTAGGTCGGTGGTTGAACTCCGGCTTTCCTCCACCACAAAAACCTGGCACGTCCTTAAATGACCATAGCTGATAATAGGACGTACAATTAAACAGCCAAACTGGTCAGTTTTTCATGTATATAGGATTATTCAGAATTATGAGCATTGTGTAATTATTGTATTTGAATTAATTGTGATGTTGATGGGGAATTAATGTGTAAATAGGGAAAAGTCACGCTTTGAATAAAATTGTGCTGAATATTATGCGGCGCTCACACAGTGCCGATTATGGTTCCAGTTTGAGATCAGACAGCGCTGCCACACGGAAAGCGAAAAAGTCGGAATACTATCCTCAATCTATCAATGTCTGAACGCAGTCATATACGTTCGTAACAGAGTCCTACGGATCGGAAATGGTCCGGAGAGGTCGGCCAAGCACTCCCGACAGTTAGGGACGTCCCGTAACATTCGTCTAGTCGGATTACAATCGTGACTATGTCGTGACAGATTCTACTGTATTGGATCAAATCGTAGCAATATCCTGTGTTGTCTGGACGGTGTCGTGTGGATCGGGACGCTGTCGTGATAAACGGGCAAGATTTGGATAAATTTGTCATTGCCGTTTCTAGCCGATTAAGTCCAGATTGCGTCCAAATCTTGCCGAATGCGTCGGTCACTGTCCGGTCACTGTCTGATCTCTGTCGGGGCGCGTTCGAGAGAATCAGGACGCTGTCGGGACAGATTCGGTCGTTTTTTACCATGCGGAAGATGCAAATCGGATCAGATTCGGATTGAGAACGGGAGAATCGGGACGAATTCGGCATGAAACGGCTGAATCGGGACGCTTCCTGAACAATATCTGATTGTTGTCGTGATTAAATAAATGTTTTCACAAATTTGTGAATTTCCCGCCACGAATTACAGGATCTTGATCAGACTTTTGACAATTTTAATCGGGAGTGGTCCTTTCAAGGACGGCAGTAAAAATCCTGAATGTGTGACTGAGGCTTAATGGGCTGAAACATATAACGATTTTTTGAAGAATTCGCAACACACAAGCAAGGACAAAACACATTAAGACCACAGGCATTTACAACAGGGCTTGCACTGAATGTAAAACTCAAGAAATTTTAATGTTGTAAGGTACGATTCGTTCCGACATGGTAAGTATTATTCATTTAGTTGTCAGTGATGGTAGTGTTACATCTTGTGGTCAGTGATGGTAGTGTTACATCTTGTGGTCAGTGTTTGTAGTGTTACATCGAGTAGTCAGTGATGGTAGTGTTACATCTTGTGGTCAGTGTTGGTAGTGTTACATCTTGTGGTCAGTGTTTGTAGTGTTACATCTTGTGGTCACTGTTTGTAGTGTTACATCGAGTGGTCAGTGAATGTGGTGTTACATCTAGTGGTCAGTGTTAGTAGTGTTACATCTAGTGGTCAGTGTTTGTAGTGTTACATCTTGTGGTCAGTGATGGTAGTGTTACATCTTGTGGTCAGTGATGGTAGTTTTACATCTTGTGGTCAGTGTTTGTTGTGTTACATCTTGTGGTCAGTGTTGGTAGTGTTACATCTTGTGGTCAGTGTTGGTAGTGTTACATCTAGTGGTCAGTGTTTGAAGTGTTACTTCTAGTGGTAAGTAAAGTTAGTATTACATCTAGTGGTCAGTGTTGGTAAGGTGACATCTAGTGGTCATTGTTTGTAGTGTTACATCTAGTGGTCAGTGTTGGTAGTTTTACATCTAGTGTTCTGTATTGGTAATGTCACATCTAGTGGTCAATGTTTGAAGCGCTACATCTAGTGGTCAGTGTAAGTATTGTTACATCTAGTGGTCAGTGATGTTTGTGATACATCTAGTGGTCATTGTAGGTAGTGATACATCTAGTGGTCAGTTTTGGTACAATTACATCTAGTTGTCATTGTTGGTAGTGTCACATCTTGTGGTCAGTGTTGGTAGTTTTAACAATAGTGGTCAGTGTTGGTAGTGTTTCATGTAGTGGTTAGTGTTAGGAGTGATACATCTAGTGGTCATTGTTGATAGTGTGACATATAGTGGTCACTGTTGTTAGTTTTATATCTAGTGGTCAGCGATGGTATTGTTATACATAGTGGTCAGTGTTTGTAGTTTTATATCTAGTCGGCAGTGTCTGTAGTGTTCTACTGACCACTAGATGTAATAGATGTCAGTGTTACTTCTAGTGGTCAGTGATGGTAGTGCTACATATTGTGGTCAGTGTTTGTAGTGTTACATCTAGTGGTCAGTGATGGTAGTGTTATATATAGTGGTCAGTGTTTGTAGTGTTACATCTAGTGGTCAGTGCTGGTAGTGTTACATCTTGTGGTCAATATTTGTAGTGTTACATCTAGTGGTCAGTGAATGTAGTGTTACATCTAGTGGTCAGTGTTAGTAGCGTTACATCTAGTGGTCAGTGATGGTAGTGTTACATCTTGTGGTCAATGTTTGTAGTGTTACATCTAGTGGTCAGTGAATGTAGTGTTACATCTAGTGGTCAGTGAATATAGTGTTACATCTAGTGGTCAGTGTTAGTAGTGCTACATCTAGTGGTCAGTGATGGTAGTGTTTAATCTTGTGGTCAGTGATTGTAGTGTTACATCTAGTGGTCAGTGTTTGTAGAGTGACATCTAGTTGTCAGTATTGGTAGCGTTACATCTTTTGGTCAGTGATGGTAGTGGTACATCTAGTCGTCAGCGTTGGTAGTGTGACATCTAGTGGACAGTGATGGTAGTGATACATCTATTTGTGTAGGTTTGGTTTTGTTAACTTAGCTGCCAGTTCTGTTAGATCTACATGTTTAGCGACTGACTTGTTCCTATAAGCAAACGTCCCTTTAACTTACAGGTTATACTAACTGGCATAGCGACAGTCGCCTCCCTTTAACTTACAGGTTATACTTACTGGCATAGCGACAGTCGCAAGAAACACAGAACATATTGGGTATTTATCAGGCAGTTCAATCGGGAAACAACTCCTCAGGCAGGAGCAATAACTTGTACGATGTACATTTGGTTCTACCCTTAGTGATATCTATCTTCCAAATACCCAAACCTTACAGCAGCCTACATGTCAGTAACTTAGAACGCGCATGTCATCAACATTCCTAGGGTCTGGTGTGAATGTACAGCTCTAGGTGGAGCAGTGTCTTGTTAGAGTGTTGTGTCAATATATATACAACAGATACCACGTATTTTAGAAACGTGTACTTGTTATAATACTTATAATTTATATCGCATGTTTATACTAAAATATGCAATGTGTACGACAGCATACTTCTTACACTTCCAACACCTACAGGTATATATGAATATATCATGAGATTGTTTGCCGAAGAATGCCAGTTGTGTACCGAAAGCGTATTGCAGACTTCATTAATCACTCTACCGACATTTCAATTCACTTATGTTGTCTGTTGTTATGCATGCGCGTTTCTGCAGTAGCAATAATGAAAAACACCACAATGAAGCAGCTGTTTTCCAAATAAGAAAGTTTAATTCTAATCACAAAGGAAAAGGTTCCATATTTTGTTATTATTGTATAAAGCTTCGTCATCTTT